CAATTAGGTAGATTGAAATATCTGTTCAATATATTGCCATCAAAAACATTAACGTTAACCTAACCTTCGAACTTATCAGCTACTTGGGAGGATAATTATTTTTTGTCGTATTCCTTATTTATTATACGAACACTAGCTGTTTCGCGCAGCTTTGCCCGTGTCTCCAGGGAATTACATCCCGTACATAAATAAAATATAGCACTCAGGAACATTGTAGCTAAGTATCAGTGAAAGAATTTTGGAAATCCGACCAGCAGTTCCAAAGGCTAGTCCCCACATACGAACTTACTATTACCTCTTTATAATATTCGTATAGAAGTATAGATTTGTGTGTAAGAAAACAAATTCATCGAAAACCATCTGACAGATAATAACAGGCAGAACGCGCTAATAGTTTTTTATAGCAAAATAAAATTAATTAAATTGATACGTCAAAAAGTATAAAAGAACTAAAAGTTATTACTTGAATATTATGCAATGAATGGCTGAGACCCTCATGAATCTTTATCAGCAAATAAGCAGGCAATTAAAATAAACGATTACTTAGTAGTAACTGGAACAGTGAAGTGGTTTGCAAACTGCACTTCAACAATGTAGCTTTAATATTTTAAGATATTATTCCATAGATAATTAATAAACTCCACAAGTAGGTAGGTATTTAATAATTGCCTGCCCCGTTACTCGTTGGTGGTCGATGAAGAGGTTGGAAGTAAAAAGTTTTATATTCTTTTAATTTATCAGTATTACCATGTTACTCAGTATTTAAAGACATAGACAGACAATAATTATAATAGTATAGTATATGACAATTCACTTATATTACATTTCTCACATCGAAACACTACAGGAAGAGGTTCAAAATAAGGAGTAACTCAGTACCTACGCACATCTATTTCTAAAATCAAAGTTTTCCTATTAAGTCCTATCTTTGTGTGTGTTCATAAAAAAAAGTTCAAACAATTGTTTCTCATAAAGAATTCTGAGACACAAATCATTTTTTTTAATGCGTACAAAAAATTACGTCAGTCTGTTGGGGTCATTAAAACTGTGAACATAAATAGATTTGGCGCTAGGTATGTAGGTACGTATGTATCTAAAATGTACCTAAAAATAAATTACATTATGTCTTAATTATAATTACTTAACGTTTCAACCTTTGTACAGAGATTATTTTACGTCAATCCTTAACAAACAATTTAAAGATTTAACTTTATACAAAAAGATAAGCTTTAAGATCCATTTGACGCCAACTGTTTAAAACTACAATATTTATATCAGATAATTTTGACACTAAAATTATAAAACCTGTACCTAACAAGTTATTTTTAAAAAACGTTGTTTACAAAAATACTTGATACTTGAAGAACCGAACATGAATGATATCTATGTCGCGATTCGAATTTCATTCCAATTTTAAAAAAAGATTCCAAAAGAAATTCTCTCTGAATGACCGAAAGCATCGACTCATAACGGCCTCAGTTGAGAAACGTTCAAACTTAGGTGTCGTGTACAATAAACGGTGTAGTTACAGCTGACTAGACACGTTCCAAGTTCCAACTCAAACCAGTGCTGTTTTCTTCAAAAACTTTCAATATATATTTTCTTGGCGCTTTATTGGTACTGCTGATATTTTATTTGATGATTGATTTTATTTTCGATATTATGCAAAAGTTTTTAGTACGTTCACACACGTTCCTGGTAGTGGTCACATAATTATTTTATAGGAACGAGAGAAAAGAGCAGCTACACCATCTGATTTTATGTCAATCGTATAAGTACTGCAAAAGGCATCGTTACGTATTAACTCCCGTGTGCATACCAAATAACTACAGACCTCTACATATGGCATTTACAAGGAGTTTTCTTTTTGAGACATGAAAATCTTCAGGTTACTTCTGCCAACAAAAAAAAAACAAAAGCAGAATTTTTTTCTAGAAAAATTCTAAAATTATACAATTTTTTTTCTCATTTTTCGTAAATATAATATTCAAATAATAAATCAGCCAGTCATACGATAAACGAATAAAGTCAAAAGTCACATACACAGAGGCACACTATTGCACTCCTTTTATTTCTCTTCTAACCCACTCACACACCTATACGCATGGATGAGCATCGAATTTTATTTTATTTAACTCTTTGTTAAGAAAAAATAAATAAAGTTTAATTATTTTTATTTTTGCTACTAGTTATTTATAGGAACCTAAGTTTTTAAATTTTATTTCATTCTAACTATATCATAGATTATTTTTTGGTTATTGGATTCATCGTATTTTATGCGCTATATTTTTATAGATAATGTTATATTTTGATACCAATTAATAGTTTATTCTAGTTAACAGATTCTTTGATAAAAATATGGCTGCTCTTATTACAGCAGTTAATAACATTTTATTACCGCTCTGGCATTCGAAGTGATCCCCGACTTCATTATAAGCGATCTTCCTTGTGTTTTATATAAGTAATTAAATATTCTTAGCCCGTACTTTGTACATTCCCTTTTAAAAGAAACAATGCGTTTAATTTCCAGAAAAAGGCATTTCCTATTTTCCCGTAAGTATTAAGTTTAAAAGTTTGTCAAGACCTGAATTTAAAGTTTAATACGCAATATCTTGTTTCTGTTAAATGGAAATTACTTCAATTAAGATTTATTGCGAACTTTAAAGTTTCTTTCAATTCGACGAGAAAGAGTAGCTAGCCGACCGACCAGAACTAGACCGGACACTCGGGGTGTCCCGTGCCTTGCGTTCGGAACCCATATCAAATAGTTAATCAAAGAGGATATAACCACGTGGTTATATCGTCATTGTAGCTAATAGACCATGGGCCCATATGGGCCCATAATCTGGCCTCAGCCTGGAGCAGAAGAAAGAGCAGGGGCTTTTAGTCAGTAAGAGTCTGACAGTCTCTCTCCCCATACCACGGGCGAGAGAAGTCATTTAAAGATTTTTCGCCCACTACCGACGAACTACGAGTGCTTTTAAAAAACGTATAGATTAGTCCAAATATCTGAATCATATATATCAAAATATCACCCGATATTAAACGAGCATTCATAACCCAAAAAAAATGCATTAGAGCAATATGTGGAGTTGGGCCCCTGGTATCATGTAGACCATTGTTTAAAAAACTTAGATTACTAACTTTAACTGGACTATACATCCTTCAAGCTGGTATATTTGTTAAAGAACAACGTAGGCATTTCCCACAAATGTTCAATAAATTAAACTCAGTTGTAAAAAAAAGGGACCCCACTCTTTTGCTGATGCCACCATGTAAGACAGCCTATTGTCAAAAGAACTGCTCTATAATGCCCGTAAAAATATTTAATAAAATTCCGAAATGTATCAGAGAGCTTCCTTTGAATTTGTTTAAAACTAAACTATATAGGTGGCTAATAGAACACAGTTTTTACAACTTGAATGACTTCTTAAGGTGACATTGAAATCTTTTACTACAATTTTGACGTTTGATACAAAAACAGAGACATTAATTGTAATAATTGTAAACTTGACTTTCTTATACCTTGACTACTGTGTTAATTAATAATTTTTTGTACTGACATATTATTTTGTATTTTTGGTGATTTGGTAATCAATTGTATAATTATTCTGCACATGTAATTGACGTTTCATTGGTATACATACAATGAACCCTGAAAATGATAAATTTTGCATGCCATCTGTATTATGGCGAAGTGTGAAGTTTCACTGTTTAGCTCTAAGATCTTTCTGTACCATGCTTCCTGCAAATAAATGAATTCTATTCTATTCTATTCTATTCTATTCTATATAGATATATTGAAACTGAACCTTCTGCCACGTAACACTCTTTCTTTGAAAGAAATCAATGACTTATCATACCCCTACTCACTAGAAACCATTCCGTGCCTTCTCCTGCTCCGAACCGTGTCGCAGTACCTAGGTATATCACGCGCAACGTACATACTTTTGTAGATAGACTAATATTATAAGCTGAAGAGTTTATACGTTTCTTTGTTTAAAAACGATAATCTCCAGAGCTAGAGGTTTTGATTAAACAATTTTTTAGTGTTGAATAGTCCGTTTATTTACAAAGGCTTTAAAACGAACCTGTAAAGGATTTACAACCAATAGTAGGATGAACCGCACGGGACTAATATACGTAGGTAGTTTTAAGTTAATATATAAACAAGTGTTTGCAAGTTCATTTTTGTTTGATATAATTATTTTGAATAATAAAACTATAACGGCCTCTCAAAGGTCCTATAAAGATTGTAAAGATCAAACACTACAAACAGATATTTAGAATCGAAAAATACCGTATTGCACACTGCACAGCAAAAGTTAACAAAATAATCGTCAAACGCAAACTCAAATAAACTGTAACTAGGCTGTGGCAGCGTTTCCATCTGATACCGTTCAATATTACACAGATATTCAATTTAATAAACTGTCAATCCTTTGACACCTGGATTCTGTGAAATTTCCAGAAAATCGAAATACCATTTGATTTCGTATTTTCTTGGAACTTTGAATGTCTATACTTAAGATCAAAGGTCAAATTTGAGCATCTCATCTACACCTACTTCACATCCTCAAAAAAGATGCTATATTTTCTTAGACAATCATCATTACCATTAATATTTAAGTAACAAGGAGAAAACTAACGGACATAAGTTATTTATAATTCGATTCTAGATACTTAGTAAAGGACTTAGACAGACTTAGCTAAATTCACACAGACCTATTGAATACTCACTTAAAAGTATGAGAACCTAGGTATAGCTACACATATATTCCACAAAATTGATTGAACATTGTTCAATAAGCTTCCAGAATTTGTAAACACTGATTAACGTAAGACAGTTTAGGTATCAAGCCGACCATATTATTATCAAGGCCTCGCAGAAAAGCGGTGTGAAATAACTACAGAGTTGGTTACCGAAGAAGTAATTCTGCCCCACTTCCCATACCATCCCCAATCCCAAAATTCTCAATCCCCAATTCGCTAAACCCCAAATGTCCAGCAACGCAATCGTAACTCCTGATGCCGAGTACTCACCGTAAGTAAATCCAACTGCTCGGTAACCACATGAAAAAACTGACTAATTATACATATTTGCATTGACGGCACAAAAACTTATTTAAAGGCTAACATATATTTATAACAAAGCAGTGCTCAAGCGACGTCCGCAACGGTGCAGTCAGGATACTCGATCATAAAATTTCACACACAACAATGTTATCAACTATATTAGTATCCATTATACTGTTAATCCTTCTCATTATTTTTAAATGTGAATTCAAAAAAGTGCGGTTTTATATCAAATTTTATTTCTATTATGTCGCTCTTAGTGTAGTACCCCTAGTAATATTACCGTTTTTGTTAATAAGACCGAGACATCAATGTAATGGAGTGTAAGTAACTTTTCTTTGTCTATTTTTGAATAAAATTTATGATCCGGATATAGGCCTTTAAAGTCCTAAAACTAAGACCATTCTTCGATACATCGACAACATCATCTTCCTAAGTTGCAATGACTCTAAAGGTGCTAAGTGTGCGGACTACGTGCAGCAAACCTCTCCCTCTTAACAGGACACCTTTGTTTAGCTGTAACTATAATAAAGAAAAACAAAAAATATATCAAGAATTATAAAATTTACTTATGTCTCGTGACTAGTCCCAGATTTATTCATAACTCACTAGAATGTTATCCAGGTTATTTCCGTACATACCTTTGGCATTTTTGCCATCAACCATTAACCATCAAGTGACTTCTTCCGCCATGCGTGAAGCGCAGGAAACGACAGACTCTTACCGGCTAAAACCTACCACGTTACATCTCCACCTTATTGCGCTTGATCAGCACCACCGGTTGAGCATACGTGTGTATCTACGTTCCAAGAAAACCTAAAACCTTCAAGACCTATCATTTTTAAAGTGTGATTTCAATAGCTGTAGATGATAGTATTATAATAATAAGTTTTTAAAACCTCTACAGTATCCTGTAACATTCATCTCGAAATACGTTTTTCAGAATAACCTCCAGATATATGAGAGATTTCGTAAACGTCATTTATGGTTGGGAATGGAATATACGCAATAAGGAAATACTGATGGAGGATAGAGCAGCCGTTATCATTTGCAACCACCAATCCGTTTTTGATTCAACTGGTAAGTTGCATACAAACATTATTATCTTGTTATCACCAAGTCGGTATCTACTTTCATTCCAGTAGGCATCTTCTAATTTCATTGCCTAAATGACCAACTGCAATTTCCAAGAGGAAGGTAGACTGAGTGACGGCAAATCTAAGACTGAGTCCTTTATTCAGTAGTTTGTGATGGTATCTTAACATGAGGATGATGCAATCGTGAACAAGTTAATTCGTCACCTAAACAATTTTAAAATCTGTTTTGATTAATGCCCGGTTCCTATAATTGAGAAACGATCCGTTTTAGTTACGAATAGTAGTTTTATATACGACTCGTAAGCTAAAACCGTTCCTATAACAAACGTCTCGTCGTGCAACTTACTGACGGTTTGCAACTAACGGATGTCGGTAAGCGAATTGTATGGAGATCTATGGTATCTGTGGTGTTCCTATAAATATTTTAACCGTCAGTAGACGGTCAAGATAACTATTCGTAATGTCATTTGGTCGTAATGCGTATACAACGACGATTAGTTAAATATAGGAACCGGGCATAAGTAATTTTTAGAGATGTCTTATGTACCATCAACCTTCTCAATAATAATTTAATACTACCAGCCGATCCTGTACTAAAACAATTTCAATTGCGCAACTCAATAATGTCATAGGTAACTGTTTTAGAAAAACCCTTAGCAAGTATCTCATTTTACATTATAACAGGATCCTAAAAGTGTGTGACTATGAACTATGAAACTTCTGAACGGATCTAAATGAAATTTGATTCAGAGATAGATTATAGTCTCAAATAACACATGAAATACTGATAAAAACGAAACGATGGCAGAAACTTTAATAATGCAATTATTTCAGGGATCAACAATTTGTGGGTTGTGGCGAAGAAGCTTATAATGATTGCGAAAAAAGAAGTTCTACTTTACACAGGTCCGTTAGGCTTAGCGGCGTATCTTTGTGGCTCGATATTCATTGATAGAAAGAACCAGAAAGAAGCCTATCAGAAATTAGAAATTACTAAGCAGATGATGATTCAAGAGAATGTGAGTAAAAATAAGTACATGTTAATATATTTTGTCAGTGTTTAGGTTTGGACTCTAACTTCGATAGTCATTGTGCAGTTAATGGAGCGGTGTACGTAATTACCCCAAACCAGTCAAAAACTCTGGTCAGAGACGCAGATAGTCTCATATCAGCTGATGTATGACAGCTAACGTGTGAACTAAATAAAACCCAAAAAAATCTGACTTTCTCAAAAAAAAAATACAAATACAGACATTATACACATACAAAGATAGGCACACCTTTTTGAGCAAGGAAAATCAGCTAATGACTTCTATCGTCCTAGGTGGGGCATGAGAGACTATCCGACTCCTATTGACTAAAAACCATCCCGTTTCTTCTCCGGGCTCCGAACTTGGGCGAAGACAGATTATTGGTCTTGTACCTACAACCGGTACGGTGGCCGGTGACCGTCACGCTATCCCCGACGCCCGAAGTTTTTCCTCTTGCTGCGGTTGGGGCATGAGGAGGATGTTGCCTCGACTAAGATCCGGTGCTGTGCCACACGCACACGCGCTAGTGACCGGGGTAGTTGACCTATTCGTCAGATAAGAGTTCTCCATAATTAACAAATAAAATCAAATCAAATCCTTAGTTAGCAAAACAATGTATATTACATAACATAAAGTTTACAGAGATGAGGTCTTCAAGGACTATTTAAAAAAATCTTTGAGAAATTTATTAATACTACTTACTTACCTATAAACATTTTCAGTTTGTAGGTAATGTATTGTTTCATTTGGCTTATTCTTAATTTGATGTTCAGATGCCATATGCAAAAATAATATGATATTCCTACGTAAATACTTACTTAAATAGGTACTACAAAACTACAATTATAAAGATAAAATCTGAGTTAGAATACTAATTTATATGTATGTAAATGATATTATTATACCAATCTATGATTTAAAAAATCGTTTACCTACTTGTACGTACATAAACTCAAATCTTCGTCAAGATATTTTACTATGGATAATAATTAATTGTTTCTAATTATCCTAAACCTAATCGTCGGCGGCGACCTCTCACGTCCGGCCTAGGTCAAGTTCATGGTGCGAAGCGAGAGAAACTGGGAAACCATGTTTACAATTGAGGCGGAACTCGTGGCGGAAATATACCTACGCCTCTGAAATATCCTCCTTACGCCCCAATCGCTGCAGTTTAGGAGACACTCCAGGCACAGAACACCACAGTTAGGGGTCTGGGGTCCAATAGGGCTGACATTCAGCCAGGGTTTCGGACAAGCGTCGTGTTTCGTGGTTTTTAGTCGCTAAGAAATTCTCGCCACACCCTGGTCGAGAAAAGTCATTAAATACATAAGTAATCTATGTTTATTCATTTTGCTGTTGTGATTAACCTTTTTACTATTGCCCAAGAAATACACACATCGGTGCAATACCCATCTACCTACTTAGATAAGTTTTCATGTCTACACTCAATTTTCCACTTTTTAATACTTACCTACTCACGACCGTTGTAAAGGCCACTAGCACGATGTATTAATAACTCTTTATTTTCTTTTTAGTACAAAACATTGATATTTCCAGAAGGTACAAGAAATACAAAATGTGATGGCAAGTTGTTACCTTTCAAGAAAGGTGCGTTCAATTTGGCTGTATCTGCTCAAGTGCCGATCATACCTGTTGTATTTTCACCATACTACTTCTTTGACAAGGATAAATATATTTTCGACAAAGGTTTGTTCTCCTATCATTTTACTGATGTCTTTAAATTATCAACTGATTCCTCTTCTTTCCTCGATAAGTTGTATACAAGTCTTGACTGAGAAACATTTTATTAACGTTGTGAAAAAAGACGAAGAATGCAATAAAAATGAAAATTTTGTCAAAACGCAAAATGACTAGCGCTCTTATTTTGTTTTGAGTTTTTTATTGTGTTTATCACATATATTGTGGTACCACCATAGGTTCCACAGGCGGAGCCCTACAGTAGGTATTTTCCTTACAAAAAGAAAGGGGTAGGTATGTATAATTCGGCCACTGTTCTACTTAGTACCGTGTTCGTAGCTCTGGAATCAAGCCCAAGAAACGCAGCCTAACTCAGTCGCACTAGCAACAAATTAGTTCTTTTAAATGACTATAACTTTAATTGATCACAAGTGGTCCTGATTACGTATATTTACTATTAGAAGTATTTGTAATGTAGGTACATTCATATACTTCTCATCGTTATTTATACTTACCCAGGTGAGTAAGCCCCAAAATCTAAACAGAATACATTTCAGGTCACCTCATTTTACAATGTCTGGAGCCGGTACCTACAGAAGGACTTACACTGGACGACGTACCGGCCCTTACAGAGCGCTTGCACCAGATCATATCTCGGACTTACGAACAACTGTCCAAAGAAGTTCTGTCAGGCTCAAGAAGCAAGTGATACGGGAAACTTGCGAAACTTAGTTAAGACCGTGATAAATTATTGCTGTTAAACACTAGACGATATCATTTTTTAGTTTGTAGATTTATTATTAAGGAAATGTGTAGTGTACGACGTTTTACGCAATTATAAAAAAACAACAAAATGTCGCTTCATGTTTATTTCCTGACATAAAATTAGATCAATGAAATTTAAATATTACAGACAATAAATCTGAATTTGAGAAGAATACTCTGAATCATATTTTATGTTAGTACTTGCTTACCTACTTATTTATTACAGAATATTCATCTGAGAATTAGAAACTTTTGAACTAAAGCAAACCTGAATGTTATAGATATAATGGAAGGTTTTATTTTATTCTACAGTATTTATAAATTTAAAAAACATTACAATTAAATACAAGTAAAATTTTTCAGTAAATATGTTTTCGTTTAGTCCCTGCTTGCAAGAAATCGATGTTTGGAACGTTCCGAAACCCTTTCTTTTTGACGTCAAACCTACGCTCAATTATTGGACGAATCTTTTAAAGTCACTGGAACGCAGTCTCCAAACAACATTATTTCGTTTCTCATGATTGGTTGCGCGTATAGGATTTATTTCAGTTTGTGTTTATTTTTGTTTTTAGAAGCTTGACGGTTTTTATTGTTCACTGATAATACTTATATGTTGAATTGAAAATGTGGGACAAAATCATATATATGATAGTGATTCTAATAGTAACGTACATTTTAAAACAATTGTTTTCTGAAACACCGAATTTTGTGAAATTTAAATCGAAATTCCTTTTGTTTTACATCTGGACTTCTGTAACAGCAGTGATATTGTTGCCGTTTTTTGTGTTTAATCCGAAGAATGTGAAAAATTCCCTGTAAGTATTTATTATTATTGTTCTTTCATAATAATGTAATAACCCAATGAATGCTGAAAGATTCGTCACCCGCTTCTGTTTGATAGCAGTAAGTTACGTTGATTCATCGAAGCGTTTAAAATGGGGTTTTCCAAATACAATTTTATACAATAAACATGGATAGTAAAAATGTTTTCATCCTTAGTCTTCAGTGTTCACCTATAACTGTTTATTATTTTCAGATTTGGATCACAAATAGTGAAACATGTAACCAAAGTAATAGAAGTGAAATGGCTATTAAGAAATGGGAAAGTATTAGCTGAAGACCGTGGAGCTGTTGTTGTGTCTAATCATCAGTCTTCTATTGACATTCTAGGTAAAATTATAAAATGTATATTTTCAACTTTATTTACATCTTACTAGTGTTTCTTATTCCTTTCATTAATTAAAAATTATTTTGTCTTTAAAGACAAAAAATATAGTCATTTATAAAAGAATGAATTAATATAACTCCTTTACAATTACATGGCCAAGCTGTGTGGGTGTCAAGCGGCAATACATTGACCAAAGACAATATTATTATGTAAGACTCGTTGTAACCTGTCTTGTTCTAACACTGACTAAGAAAAAAAACAGTAAATGTATAACAGTTATTATTTGTATGTTCTACCTGTTTATCAATGTCTATCCCAGTATATTATTGCTGTGATGTCATCTAATGATCTTAGGGTCAATTGCCAATTGTCGGGCTTACAAAATCTAGTATGTATCTATAATATGTCTTGTCTACACTATTAACAATAAAATTCTGCACTGCACTTTAAAATGCAATAATAATATATTATTAGTTTTGTAACGATAGGTTCAGCCAAAAACTGAATTATCTCAGAAGATGGCGTTAAATTATATAAATATAAACATTACATCATCAGCTTAAAAGTTCCCTCCGTTGAGCAAAGGCCTTTAAAGGGCAATGGCATCAAACACCACAATTGCTCTAGGTGGATTAGCAATTTCTAACTTATAATTACAAATTATAAGCCTAAGTCCATGTTTCCTCACAATGTTTTCCTTCACCATTTGTTCGGGGCATCTAAATATGCTTAGAAAGTATATATATATTTTGGAAAAAGTCACAATGGTACTTTTTAAGGTTGAAACCCACACCTCATGCATAAGAATTGGGAACCTCCAGTTCACCAAGATGTAAATATAAGCAGTGTAAATTAAAAATCAGTGCAACAATAATTTTAATCTCTAAAGCGATCTTATTTTATAATTTACTGGTCAGTGGGTAGCCTTAGGAGCGCTACACTCCAACCAATGTACTGGTTGCACTCATAATCTTATCATCCTTTTCTGTAGATAACTCTGAGAGCAATGTTCTGGTAGAGGTGTGTACAAATTTAATCCTATTAGCAATATCTAAAACATCTGTGTCAACAGTTAAGTTTGAATTCTATAGCCTTGATAATAAAGTAGGACATTCACTGTCATTTTTCTTTATATAAGATAAGAAATTTCATGCGGAACAGTTATGTTCAATAATCAAAAATATAGATAATGATAAGCTGATTGTATAAGTCGATGACATACTGACATTATATCTGTTGTCTATCTGTAAAAACTAGGCATATTCTTATATAGCACTGTTTTCCTTATAATGATTCACATTTCTTGCTTGTATACTTGCTTATATACTTAGGTACTTGAAGCATACATATGTGTAAGTTAAATAAAGGCTTATGAAAAGAAATGGAACTTCTAAAGATATATTCACCGCGTATTTGGCACTAATGGGCCGACTCGACAATTGTTACACGGCCTAATATGGAACAGGCGTCAAGCATCGCTTGCGTTGTGTCTCTACGTGTAAGGTTAGGAAGGTTCTTCTCATAATCCCGAATACCCCAAGCCTCATATCCCTATCCCCCAAGGCTGGTAATGCAATTGAAACTCCTCAGTGACGTGTCCATGGGTAGCACTGATGGCCATCATGTAATCTGTGCGATCGCGTCCGCGTAACCCATACAAAATATTGTGTCATAGATAAAGGTAGGCTGATGATGTTTTGTGCATGGTGTCATTAAATAAATAAATGAATATATAAAGTGAGAAGTATCCCAGAATTGTGGTATTTGGCATTTCAATGTCTGCTAGGTCTACCCCAATGAGATTTTATAGTATGTCGTAAACTTAAAAAAATCTTAATATTCCAGGAATGTTCAATATATGGCACGTAGCAGACAAAGTGGCTGCAATAGCGAGAAAAGAAATATTTTACGTGTGGCCATTCGGACTGGCCGCATATTTAGCTGGAGTGGTGTTCATTGACAGGAATAACTCTAAAGATGCTTACAAGCAATTGAAAATTACATCTGAAGTCATGATTAAAAATAAGGTAAGCACATTACGCCTTAACGCATAATTGCCAGTTCTACTCCATCCATACTAACAAACTTTCGCATTTCATCTAGAATGTATGACAATAAGGTAGACTTCTCGCTAGAACGGATAAACTCCTTACGCGTTTCATTTCGTGGAAAAAATTATTTTTTTATATTTTATATCCTCTTTTAATACACAAGATACAAGTTTTCAAACCCATCTGTTATGACATTTTGATGGTGGATAAGGAGTGGACTCTAATGAAACTTTTTCATATAAGTATGTTAAGATGTTCTTTGCTTTATTGATAGCATTAAGACTAGTAGTCAAAAAAATTTGGAGAATGTTATGAAATATGTTTAAAAGAAATCTATCCAAACTTGCAACTCTTTGGAGTAATGTATACAGGGTGTAAGGGACAGCCTTCCGCAAACTGATAGGGTGGATTCAGTATATCGTCTTAAGTTGACCGGTACATGAAATTATTTCAGGAACGTTATGGGAATCCAATTAAACCGATTTGTTTCATTACCTTACACGCAATGTATCGCTACCACCGCAAACGCTCGCAGCGAACGGCAGCGCTTTTAGTATTATTACTTTACACTACGGGCAGCGCCGCGACCTTACGTTCAGACAAACGGTCGCGCTCCCGCCACGTTTTAATAACAATAAATTATTATTTAAAAGATAGCCGCATTACTTACAAAAGACAATGTAATAATCGCGCTCGCGCCACGTTTTAATAACAATAAATTATTATTTAAAAGTTATAGAGGAAAATCTAACAATCATAACATGGTAACTGATAAATGATAAAAAAAGAAAAATGCGTAGGTACCTTAGAATCGCTCCGGTTTCCGGCTCTGGAAAGCATTTGTGATGCGGTCTCGCATTTCGTACTCACTTGCACACGCACTCACAAACACTTTTTCTTTTACGTAACCCCACAAAAAGGGGTCCAAATGGGTTAGGTCTGGGGATCGTGCTGGCCACGGTTGCGGTCCAAACCTACCTAAACTACGTTTAAATAGGAAAGCACTGGTAAGTGGTAGCGTCTCCTTACGTTAGCGAACCAATTCCAAAATCCACGTAGGTATTGGTCTTCCGGCGCCTTTTTGTCTGGGAACAATGGGCTGGTTTTCTAGCAAGCGTTGATAGTCACCAGTAATTATCCTGGAGTCTGATGGATGGCGACGGTCAGGATACCTACACTACTACAACACATTATCATCTCCCCATAATCACGCGCGCTAAACGTACCTAGATAGTAATTTCGCACAATTTCTACAACAAAACTTCACTACACTTCACACACTACATAACTAATAAAACTTAACAACACTACTTATAACAAAACTTTTAAGTCGAATGCGCGAGCGATCCGTACCGATACACGCTCGCGGTACACAAACAATAACATCGCAACAAGGCACAATGGCGACTGCATGTGATGAGACACACACAGACATAAATCTGTTGTTGCCAATTACACGAAAATTAAAAAATTTCGGGGTAAAAATAAAAAATTATGCATGGTCGTAATTTATCATTCTGTTATTTTTTGTAGAGAAATGAATTGATTAAATCAATTTAATTCTAATTTTATTGTTTAGTTAATTTAGAATAATAAAAGTGCAGTGTGATAGAAAGCTGTGCTTCCATTCCAGGAAGATTGTGTTTAATTTCTGGCTCGACTATCAATTCATGGCTATTGTGAAGCCATGTAAGAATCTGTAAGTAGTTTAAAAACTAGCCAGTAATCGCTTAAAAAGAACAATCAATTAATACATTAGGTAGTATTTGTAAATGCTTTAAAATTAAAACTAGACTAATCTTTATTTATTTCTTATTCAATTTATGTGCGCGACAAGATTTTCATTAATTGATTAATGAAAATCTCATAAACGTAATTATGAATGCAAAGGAGTTCTCAAGTTTTAGATAAATTTCGCTAGTTCTAACATTTTCGTTTACTACCTGAGGTAACAAAAGTTAAAAATTGGCAACACTGGTTCAATCGGGCAAACATTGTGCAAAGAATCGGGGAGACGGGGAGACGCGGAGGCGGGGCGATAGAAAGGGACGCAGCTATTCTGTACGTTGGACGGGATCGTAGGTATTATACCTACGGCGCGCGGCGCGGCGATCGGCGCGGTGGGGCGCCGAGCCGCTGCGCCGTGACCGCGGTGCGGTGAGTTCAAACGACTCGCGCTAGGTAGAAATTGAACAGCTGATTTCATGCGTAGTTCTTTAGAGAATTCACACAACCATTGCGTATTTTTTTGTTTTAGCTGTGTTATTTACATTAATGTTATTCTTCATACATAAAATGTAATTATACATTGAAATAGAGGTGTAGGAACTGAAAAAACGAAAAAAAAATTGAAAATTTTCCTGAAAGAATTTTCACTGGAATATGATTCAGAATAAGGAGCTGAATGCACCCTGTTAATTTGTGGAGGGCTGTCCCTTACACCCTGTATAAAAGAACATAATGTCACTGTTAATCGTCTCGGTGAATTAATATTTTAAAATCCACGCAAATGAAGAATTTATGATTGACATCTTGGCAATGTTTGTTGTGTGCGCTGGTATTCCGAATTTAGATTTCACTCAGAATAACTGTTAATATCTGATTAGTAACTGACTTCTTTTATCACATACCGAGGGCATTGTCATTTTAACTGCACAATATAGTAGTTTCCAACTAGACAAATTGGGTAGTTTCCTAGGTCAAAAATGAATTAATTCGACGATTCAATACAATGAAATATCGAAAAATCACTATACTTTTATTCATTAATCGATTGATATACTATATTTTAAATATTTTTAAGCAAATTTTTAAGAAATTAGGACGCTATTTGACGCAAAAAATATCATAACTCAGTTTTTTATACAAATTTCATAGAACAGTATCGTTTTTGACATTTAGATAAAGGTAAGTACTTATTAAATTTGACTAGTTTTGAAACTTTCGTATTTTAGCGTCAAATGCGTTACTTTTTTCTTATAAAAATCCTAAAAAATATCTAAAACCTAGTGTGTCGATCGATCGATGAATAAAAGTATACTTATTTTTAAATATTTTATTGTATTGAAACGTCGACTTAATTTATTTTTGACCTAGGAAAGTACCCAATTGACTTGGTGGCTATGCAACCGGCTGCCGTACAACGTGCCTGAATCAAACGCGGAACAACTCTCTTTGCCTACAAATCGTTGTTCCGGGTTTAAGTGTGGTTTATATTTGAAATTATTTGTTTGTAAACGTACTCACTACACGGGAAAAGATCCTACTTTAGGGCAACGATTCCTTATTTAATCCAAATCCAAACTATTATTATCAATGCAATAATAACTCTGTCTGTCTGTCCTTCACACGCTTAAACAACTGAACCGATTTCTGTGAAATTTGGTACAGAGATAGTTTGGAACTCGAGAAAGGACATAAGATAGTTTTTATACCAAGAATCTGCAGGACCACGATTATAAAATGGTTATTAATATTATTTTCTATTCTAACTAAATGAAAACGTGTTTTAATTTCGACAAAGAAAATTTATTTTGAAGTCAGAATATTTTTGTTAAAAATTATTTATTTCACCATTTTAAGTGTTGTAGGCAAAGCAAGCAAGTATAATGATTTTCGAATGAGAAGAAGACGGCTACTTGAGACCGAAAATCACGAAGTAGTCCTGAGTTAGTCAGTGTTCAGTTAGTTTAGCTGTAAATCGTTGAGGAATTCACTCGACTGTTAATGGTCTCCATCATCATGTATACTGCAGACCTTCAATTTACTTACATAATCCATATAGGTGCAACGTTCTCATCAATATAAATGAATTAAGTCCAAGCACAACATAATCACTTCAAATAGTTAAAAAGATCCCGACAGTCTTCCTCCTCCATCATCAGATTTACTCCATAACTTCATTGTTACTCATAAAGGTGCGAAGTTTTTATCGATATAAATGAATTAAGTCCAAACATGAGGTAGTTACTGTGAACCGTTCAGGAGTTCCCTGCGGTGTCCTTCGTTCTCATCATCAGACCCCTAATGACAGTCCCGACCAACCTTGGTGCAAAGTGCTGACCAATATGAATCATTCAAGCCCAAACGCAAGGAAACTTCTCCAAATAGTGCAGGAGATCCCTCAACGGTTTTAAGGCTCCATCATCAGATTTACTGCATCACTATATTGTAAGCCGTGTAGGTGCGAAGTTTTCATTGATATAAATGAATTAAGTCTTAACACGATGTAGTTACTGTAAACCGTTCAGCAGTTCCCTGAGCTGTCTTTCCTTCTCATCATCAGACCCCTAATGACAGTCACGCTCACGATCGATCTTGGTGCAAAGTGCTCACCAATACGAATCATTCAGGCCCAAACACAATGTAATTACTCAAGGAGATCCCTCGACTGTCTTCTGGCTCCATCATCAGGTCGAGGTCGACCAGCGGCAAATCGTAGCTTTGTAAAAAGCCTACTGAAAAAAACATGCAAAAGCACTACTCGCCCCTACCATTTTCGAAAGTTCCCCTCGGTTTCCCTAGGATTCCATCATCAGATCCTGACCTCATGAAAATGGGACCCTCTCGGGAGTATAACCTGAAACCTGAACAAGAATTTTGGAAATCGGTTCATAAATGGCGGAGTAATCGAGTAACATACATACAAAAAAAAAACATACGGGTCGAATTGAGAACCTCCTCCTTTTTGAAGTCGTTTAAAAACCCCACACATTCTGTCTATACGGCAGCGGCTATCCAGAAATCGAAACGGGTGAAAAGTACTTTTGTCAAGGCTATAAAGGAAACTGGTGGACACGATCGAAAGATCGGGAGGCGTGGAAGCAAGATGGGGAGGTCTTTGCCCAGCAGTTGTGACATTATAGGCTAGGAAAAAAAGGCAATAAAATCGTGACGTATTGAAATACGCTCGGTACAAGTACTAATAACAGTAGAGTATTTATTCCCATATATTGATAACGTGTCTCTTTCCTTGCAGACAAAGATTTGGCTGTTCCCCGAGGGAACAAGAAACAAAGACTTCACAAAGCTGCTGCCGTTCAAAAAGGGCGCCTTCAACATAGCGGTTGCTGCCCAAGTGCCAATCATACCTGTTGTGTTCTCGCCCTACTATTTCATTAATAGAAAGAAATATATCTTTAATAAAGGTACGTAGATTATAAACTTAAAATAATAAGGCAATAGAAATGCACGAAAAGACGGCTCAAAGAATCCGACGTAAAAACAAACATAGCGTTGTGATTCGTCGTGTGATTGAGGTTACTGGAGGCATTGGCCTTATGTCTCCAGTACCCCTTAAAACTTCCAATCCCTATATCTCCGAAGTCCTATTCCCTAAAAGGTAGGCAAGGCACTTGTAACTCCTCCAGTGTTACGGATCAGGTCCAAGAGCGGTGCTGATTGCTTACCATCAGATAATCCGCCAGCTCGTTTACCAACCTAACACATAAAAATAACAAAACAATGAAACAATAATTTTCTTGGACAAATTAATTATAGTAAATGCAAAAAAGCAGGGTGAAGAAAACTCACGCTCTAATAATACAGTCTGAAGTAATAGTTAATACATTGTACTTGCGCCTACCGTCACGAAATGTCGACATTACGGGCCAACATCCATCAACACTAGATAAATAACTAAAGCCATTATTTACTCGTACATCATTCTTTTAAAAAGACATTTGACAACTTCGTCTGGTCTTTGAATGTATTTATTTATTCAAATATGTCAATCAGGGAGACGTGACCTCGACCTACTTGAGGAAATGTCAAGAGAAAGAAGTTTTTTTTAGGTGATAGGTCGGCAATCGAGCCGGCACATTAACCTGATGGTAAGCAATCACCGCCGCCCATGGCCACCCGCAACAAAAGAGAAGTTTCGAGTGCGTTGCCGACCTTTTGGGGATTAGGGAATTGGGGAGGAGAAGGATTGGGCCTCCGGTAACCTCACCCACACGGTGAAACACAACGCTGTAGTTGTTTCACGCCGGTTTTCTGTGAGGCCGTGGTATCACTCCGGTCGAGCCGACCCCTTACTGACGAAACATAGCTCTCCCACAGTTACTGTGCTAGTGCTCATTATTATAGTTGTATATTACAGGCCACGCGATTATCCAGTGTTTGGACCCGGTCCCGACTGAAGGGCTCACTATGGAGGACGTGCCAGCGTTAATAAACAAAGTACGCAACACCATGGACGCGGCGTACAAAGAACTCTCCAAGGAGGTGCTGAGCGCCTTGCCACCAAACTACCCACTCGCGACCGATTGAACCCACATTGCCATCACCGGTACCACCTAATAATACATTTATAATCAATATTAAGCTTTTAACTGCAGCAAGTAACGCTGACTCGTGAAATGTTTGTACTATAACTATAGTGAGCATTCCAATCGCAAGAAATTTGATATTTCTGTGATTTTATACTAGGATATTATTTATATAACTTGTCTAATTATTCTAGAATGTTTAAGGCACACTATTGTGTTATGACACGACTTTATTTGATGTCCAATTTGGCAATAATTGTATTCAGATTGCTAAACTGCATGTCACATAAAAAGGTAATAGGACAAGTCGCGTAATTGCTATCAGCACATTGTAGTTAATATTTTATTTATGTAAAACTTGTATGAAGTATTATTTTTTATATAATGTATATTAGTTCTATGTTTCTTGTGTATACTATATTGGCTGTAACGCTTATAAAGTGTGCTAAGCCGGGACATTATATGTTTTTACTAAAGTAAAGGTGACTTGAGGCTGGGAAGGAACATATATCAAGTAGAGTACTCTAGAATGTTAAGAAAGAATTAAATTAACTAATTAGCACTCCGCAGATGATTTAGTTGCGACAGGCGGCACCCCGCGACTATCATTTGTACTGATGACCTTTTTTTGTATTCACACCGCACTTGCAGTGTAGCTGTTTGGTTCTGCACCAGTGCAGTGTGGAATTTTAATCACTCGTTAAGCAACATAGCACTTTAACTTGACTGAAGCAATTACCATTTCAGTATTTGAACATTGTTCTACTAGTGAACTGCTTTTTAATGTTTAGTTAATAGTTAGGGTCTGTTCACACAGACCGGCTCGGAGAGCATCGGCGCGCATTTTTCTTTTCACACAGACCGGATCGTATACGCTTGGAGTTGGTCGGAGCGGAGTCGTCAACTATTCCACATAGACCGGCTAGAATCGGCCTGAAAGCGGATGCGCTCGGAGCCGATCGGATGTGCTCGCAGCCGGTCGGATACGCTCGCAGCCGGTCGGATGCGCTCGCAGCCGGTCGGATGCGCTCGGAGCCGGTCGGATGCGCTCGGAGCCGGGTGGATACACTGCAAAGGCAGTACCAGTATTCCACGCAGTCCAAGTTTTGTTTTCGGTGTTAACGTGTGCTTTTCGGAACATGGATTTAGATAGCTCCGATGAAGAAATATATTTGCTAGCAAGATTGTTTGAAGCTGAACAAAACAAACGAAAGCGCAAGCGAAGACAAATATGGGCAAAAAATATTTGGAAGAATCGATTAATCCATGGGGAGTTTCACACCATTTTCGAGGAATTGAAGAATGACAGCCTTAAATTTTATGAGTATTATCGTATGGAATATTGGCAATTTTTAAAATTGACAGATTTGTTAAGAGTACATATAACAAAAACGACTACAAATTATCGTTGCACCATTCCAGCCGAAGAAAGATTAACGGTAACTTTAAGGTAAGTAAATAAAAAACAATCATTTATAATAATCATCTTATTCAGGTCACAAGATCACAGCCGAAGCTTTGTTAACGTATGTTGCCGTTATTGTCCTGATTGATTGAAATATCAAATATTAGACAGTAAAAGAAACAGTTATTAAACTAAACATTGCTTAAAATTAAATGGTTAAAGTTAAAGATTACACCTAATTGAATGGCTGAATGTAATTAAATAGTGCAGATTTGACTTTCATTATTTTGATTGTCTGTGTTTATTAATTATTTTGTATTTTGTGTGTTTGTACTGTACCCGTAAGTAGTCTGATCTGGATAGTTTTGACAAATATAGGTTTCGTTTGATAACTGATGGTAAGTAGATGGATTAGAGGATGGCGGAGAATTTATTGGCAAAGAATAATTCAAATCTGCACTATTTTCATACAGACTCAATTCAGCTTCGTTAACAATGTCAAAAACGCGCTTTTTAATTCGTGCTTGAACTTCTTTTGGAAACGTTTCCACTGTATCTGACATAGACAAAAAAAAATTGCGTAATGCCTTGTCAAAGGGTTTAGTATTTTTTTTTTCTTCAAGATATTCTTCGAAAACCGTAGCAACATCTTTGTTTAAGCGTGTTCTCTTTTTCGAGTCGGAAGTACTTGCAAGCGATTCAACTTCGGAATGGTCAGAACGTTTAGATGATGTCGATGCTGGTGGTAGTGGTGTGCCAGGTTCCGATTCATCCGATGATAATGTAACATTAGATATTTGGTTCCGATTACGAAAAAACGGTATTATAAACGAAAGTTCTTTTTCAAATTTTATTAATTTGGATGATGTCGCACCATCGCCACTCTTCCCTTTTCGGTTATGATAAGCTTTTCTGAAGTTATCTCGCAGTTTCTTCCAACGATCCATGCACTGCCTAACTGGAAAAAATAGAAATAAATAAATTAAAAACATCACCCTCCTTTAGTTCATCGGGTAAATGAGCATGCAGTCAGTGGACTGTTTTCTTTAATTTATACTTCGTTTTGGCGCGGCAATGTTATATTTAGATTTTTTGTTTGTTTTTACAGATTCCTCATTACTGGTTGCAGTTTCAAAAACTTGTCATTTAATTTCCGAATGGGAATTTCTACAGTTCATTCAATAATTCACGAGACAATCAGAGCAATTTGTGATGTTTTGATGCCCTTAGTTATGCAGATACCAGATGAAGAAATGTGGGACAAGGTCTCTCGTGATTTCTTTAATATTTGGAATTTTCCTAACTGTTTGGGCGCTATAGACGGAAAGCACGTCAGTATACAGGCACCAGATAATAGTGGAAGCTTATACTATAATTATAAAAATTTTTTCAGTACAGTGTTACTAGCTGTGGTAGACGCGAAATACAACTTTTTAATTGTTGATGTCGGATCGTATGGTAAAAATAGCGACGGTGGAATTTTACAAAATTCAAAATTTGGAAAAAAACTGAACACTAATAAGTTAAAGCTGCCCCCAAATAAACCTCTACCGAATACCACTGAAAGCTTACCACATGTTTTCATAGGAGATGAAGCATTCCCTTTGAGCAATAACATATTGCGGCCGTATCCGAGAGAACAAACAAGAACAGACTTATCAAAAAAAGTATTTAATCTGCGTTTAAGCAGAGCAAGAAAAGTCGTAGAATGTGCATTTGGAATGCTAACTCAAAGATTTGAGATTTATCAAAAACGAATGAAAATCCAACCGAAGTACTGTGACTTAATTATATTAGCAACTACATGTTTACATAATTTTTTAATAGAAAATCGGACGCCATCACCAGGACAAGAGAATGTTCTTCACAGCAATATGAATTTATTAACAGCGATAACAGACAATAATGATGAAAATAGTTCTAATATCGACGCAGGTATAACCATAAGAAATAAATTTAAGGATTATTTTTCAGCAAGTGGTGCTTTAGATTGGCAAGATCAAGTGGCCACTCGAGTTTCTTAAGTTATATTTAATAAAAATTGTTCGCTACTTCTTGAGTAGGTATATTGTAACGTTCAGATACTCAAACGATTTTTACGAGTAAAGTGAGGGTACATTTAAACTCATGTTATTCCTGTTTTGACTTTGAATTTAACAAGTTACGGCAAATTAAGAAGCCCTTACTTTAGAATTCGTTCGAATATCTGGAGATAGGTGTAAAACAATAAAATCTTAGTAGGTACTTACCACTTAACCCCACACATTTGCTTATTTCCTCCCACGCATTGTCTTTCATTACCCGATCGCTATACGATGGCTTGGTTATGTCAAATAAACACTCATATTTTGACACTAGTATTATTAATTTTTCGTCAGTCATGTTTTCCTACAAGTGCATACAACTGTTCCGTTTGAAAACTTCGAACACAAGTGATTCGAGACACGATAGAAATACAATAGGGGCGCGAAAGCCGGCTGTCGCTTGCTTGTTGAAAGCAAAATGGCAGTCGGCGTGGTGCGACGGGCACGCAATCGGAACCGATCGGCTGCGCGAGCGAGAAAGAGCACGCAATCGGAGCCGATCGGCTGCGCGAGCGAGAAAGAGCACGCGATCGGAACCGATCGGCTGCGCGAGCATTAAAGAGCATGCAATCGGAGCCAAACGGCTGCACGATCGAGAAAAAGTACGCGATCGGAGCCGGTCAGCTCCTCTTATTATTTCACACCAAGCGCCTTCAAGCATTCTTAATGACAAAAGCTGTGCACATAAAAAAATAAACCTTAATACACATACTAAAAACTCTGTTTTCATCGTGATAAGAATCTGCTCTCCTCTCCGAGCCGGTCTGTGTGAACGGACCCTTATACTTACCGTAGAGTCGTTGTGTTGACAAATTTCTTGTTATTCAAAATTCGTCCTTACTTCAAAGCGCACAATGTACGTTATTGAATTTCATTGTTTGTGTAGAATGTACTAGCATGGAATTTGCAATACATTCGTTTATTTTCATTGTCAACAATTTTGGTGCAATATTTAAAATTTTAATTAATTTTCTCTTCTTTATTTAGAAATTCTAAATTTGAAATGATACCAAAATGTTTATGCCATTGTTCTTTCTAATTAATGGCGGATATGATGGAGAACTAGAAATATTTAATAAACATATAAATATAGGCGAACACCGTGAGTACTTATCGTTTACATATTCAAACCATTCGTGTAGTATACGCATAAGTTCGGTATAAAATATAAATAGAAGAAAGACTACGGAGATGTTTAACTGGCCTATATGAATTGAGGTCGACAAACGCTACATAATTACTTCGCCCTCGTCAAAGACCTTACGTACGTCTATGATATAATAGCTTAATAATATAATTTACAGTATTATTTATTTGTATGTATCGCTTTAGTTGAAACAGTGCGCCTTAATAGTTTCTAATGTCGCTTCAATGCTTAGTTAAGATTTATTTAGGATACGTTCATTGAAACCTTTTACACTCTAGTCATGTAAACGACTAAAAGTGAAGTCAGTTGTATGCGCTTTGCATACAACATCGACATGGGACACACAATTACAACAATCAGTAAACAAACTTGTAATAAATTACTCAAACACCTTATATAAATTCAATGCAGGTCGTAATCATTCTGTTTTTCCAAAAAAACAACTTTATAAAGAAAACTTTCTCGCCCAAAGTAATTTATTACTTAAAAACAACATCATATAACCAAATGCGACGGCTAATCTATAAAATTTGCAATTATTATTCTTTCCCACAGTTGTTCGTTTAAGTAAACACGTTAAAAACTCATCAACGTTTACATTAATATTCTCGATTAATCTTCTTAGTAAGTAGATTATGAAAAAATGAATTTAAATACGCGAAGTTACCAAAATTCATTTCATTTTGTCGATAATGATCGAATATTAATATTGTATTATTAATGTCTATTAAAATTACAGTGCCATTTAAGCATATAGTATTTCTAATTTTTAGTATATCGATTTAATATGATGGGTCCATATTAATACCCATTGTACTTATTTAAAATGATATTTGTTTTCTCCTCTGCGTGCATAAAATAAACACATCCTTATTCCGTTTGATACGGAAAAAATAAGCGAGTAAATAAATTCTTGTATTCTATTTATGTAGAAGTTATGAAATTATAATCTTATTATATTTCCAAATTTCGTAATGATATTTTTATAAAAATAACAATGTATTACTAATATAATATTCTTTAATTATAAAAATAGTCGTGTCAAAAATGCGATGAAATGCTCAGCCAAAGTAAGAAGAAAATATGATATTTGGAGTAAAAATTGTATTGTAATAAACGAATTCGTAGTTGCATAAATAAAAGTAAAATTATTTATCAAAAAATTATCATTTTTGATATTAAAAAGTAGTCTTTATTGGTATTTAAGCCTTGAAAAGTATTAACCAAAGATTTTTAAATATCCAAAAAACTGCATTTGTCGAATAAAAGTAAACTTCACAGATAAGAGAATTTAATATCACATTATAATTAATAAATACCGAATCTATTTAATTAAAATTTTAACAACGCTATATTAACTTTAAAACAAATATTTTAATATTTTCGGAATATTAATGCCTGGTTTCCAAAAGCTCGATCAATGTTAAAATCATCTAACTAGGTGTCAAATCTCTTGTAAAGTCATCTGATTGGTTGTTGATAATTCAGTCAACCAATCAGATGACTTGACAAGAGATTAAATTGATTTTAACTTTGATCGGCCTTTCGGAAACCAGTAATCATTATTCGCTTAAGTTTAATAAGTACCTATATACATATAATTGTCTTATATCTCAATACTATGTATTTACGCTCAATATTACTTTATTTACTCTCCTGTTATAATAATTAATATTATGTAAAATATGTTTAGCTTATGGCATTATTATTATATTATTATTGTATGTTAATATATCATGCCATATTACATATTTAAACACTTATTATGGACAGCGCACGAAGGTTTAATATTTAGAATAAGAAAATGAGATTAAACCTTTTTCCTAGCCCATTTATAGACGCTATAAAACCTTCATTGTGCGGTCATTTAATAAAAAAAAGTTCTTTACTTAATTATTATTATTATTTAAAGAAACTGGACGAAAACTGGGTGATACGTCATATAATCCCTTGAAGGGAATAAAGCTTATGTTATTTAAGGGTCAATTTATATTAACACAGAGTCGAAATTCGTTGAATCTAAAATGTCATAGCAAATGCACTCTTATCTTCGTTTGTTTAAGAACATTTTCCTTCGATAGAGCGCATATTTCATCTTATGCGTGAATTCTACCGCGACTTTTATATCTAATAAGGAATTTGTACCGTACTTTCCGGAGATAAAGATGAAGTTGCAATAACATTTACTCTGTGCTAAAATAAATTACCCATCATTCTATTTCAATGTATATGAACGCTTCTCACATGCCATTCGATATTAATCGCAATCCGTAATATTATATTAATTTTAATTAATCGATTTTAAGTTAGATTATTAGTAAAGCGTATTTGCATTTGCAAATGCGTTAAACTGTTATAGATATTGTGTATTATAGATATTATGCTTTTAAAATTAGACAACTGTTAGTGTTTATTACGTGTAATATTTTAGTTAACTGCTTGCATCAACAGCGTCTTGGGTATTCATTTACATGTTGTGATGGTATTTTGTTTTATTTGTTGCTATTGAACATTATTTTTTTGTTTTTGCTATTTATTACAGTACGGCCGACGTATCTTGGCGAGTCTGAAGTTAGCCGTTTGTCTGCGCAATGGATCTTTTAGGAACAAAATTGTGTGCTGCGCAGCTAATCAGCTAACTTCAGACTTGCCAAGATTGTAGAAATGACGACTTAAGACTTGTGAATTAGCTGTGATAAGCTCGTTTCAAGTCACAGCGTGACTTTTGTTCATTAGCGGCGTGCGCGTTGTGGTGACATCTGACTGCGTTTTAGTAGTTTTCCTAGTATGGAGTTATAAAGGAAATATTAAGTGCTGTCCTTTTTTATCATATTCTGTTGTGTCATCCACATTAAGACTTTGTTTCGTTCACTCAACAAATACTTTGGTTTACATCATATTTTTGGTAAAAAGATTTTTAAATGAATACTTCAAGATGTCTGTATGATATATTTGAGTGCTATTACTACACCAATCAATCCTATTAAAACAACATCACAATTTTTCGTCAAATCAATGTATTTTAAATCTAGTCTCCATGACAACAGTCATTATGAAATTAATAGAAACTTAAACTGAAGATAGTGAATTTAATTTACGAATTTGAGACTTGAACTTCTACATCATTGTGTTTGAGTACTTACCTACAATGTACTTTAAAGGCTCATACATAAAAAATATTTGTTTTTAAACCTATAATCATAAGTTATGATAACTCATCAATTAGGTAGTTGACCGAGGAGGTCAAAAAGAAATCAAACTTCAACTTCTTATTTTGAATATTTGTACCATACATACGGCTTACTAAACATTCGTATTTTTTTTTAGATAATTCAAGAGAAATAAGTCTATAGGTACCATTTTACGAAAAAAACATTAGCACGTTATAAACGTGCTATTTCATACAAAATTCAAAGAAAAACCTTTTTTGACATTTCGGAAAAAGTATTGAATTTGGCTATTTGGAAACTACCCTTAACTTACCGTCAGTTGAAATAGAATTAAATTTAAGAAGTATATAAATATATATTGAACAAAATCAAAACAAGCTTATTCCAAGTTATCTGTAAGGTTTTTATGATCAATAGAAAATGCGCTTAAAATAAACTTATTCTAATTTAGTAACTAAAGTTTGATACATTTAGGGCTGATTTTTGAATAGTCAGATAAATGTTATCTGAGGAATTAAATTGTTGCTGTCACTGTCTTATACAAACATTCTGACGAGACAGTATTATAATTATTCCCCAGATAACTTTTATCTAAGCATTGACAAATCAGCCCTTACTTCCCAATGTCTATTCATAGCGTTGCATGTATTCTATTATTATTGATTGAAAAACAGACAACATTAAAAAAAAAATACTTTGCATAATATCGATTAATTATATGAACCTATACTTTTGAACAAGAGTCGCAATCGCTCCAAGTATACTTATAATATTCAAATAAATATTCTTCATCCTAATGTATTATATTTTGATGCACCTAATTGTATGCCTCAAGAAACTCGACAGCTTTATAATATTTAATATGAATAACTAGAGATACATTTGTATATGGTTGTATTTTCTCAACTTATATGTCACGTTTAAGGTACCAGTGGCATATGAATTAATTCATATAATTAGTTTAATTCATATAATTTATATATGAGTACCTACTTCACAATTATTTATCATAATTATCACAGTCAACAAACCTACAATTTACTTAAGTACTCCAAGAAGTTCTAATATCAAAATAATATTATTATTACTTTTTTATTAAACCATGGCACAGTCACCTTTATATAAGTTTTAGAAAACGTTTACAATAAAAGTAATTTTGTCTTAAATTGACATATCCAATGGTTTGTTGCCATGTATAACCTTTAAACGATCGATTGAAATGTATACAGTATGCAAATTAATCTGAAATTGTAAAAAGAATTTAGATTTTCAAAGGAATGTATACTTACTTACTATTTTATTGATTTACGATTAGTTTGACATACAATCACCCAAAATAATGTCTAGTTCGATAATTTATTCTTATTAAAAATATGATAAATTCTAAAATATTAATCGATAACTGTGTATTCTCTGTTATCATACGATTGTATTTTGTTCCTTACATACCAAAATTACATAATACCTAACCTATACAAGGTATAATAATAATTATTATTAAATAGCTAGTAAGGTCATTTGTAATGTTTCTATCTACTTGTATCAATGTACTCGTATCTGTGCAAATATTGTGATGTATCCAAAATATTATTATATTATCTACTACTTAGTATCTAATTCAAATTTATTGTATTCGTGTGACAATCCTGTAGAAAAAAAAACAAAACGACGATGAAATGTATATTTTTACATATTTTCGTATGTGAAATCTTTTCAATAAAAAGAAATCACAGGGTAAACGCATTTTCAATGAAACCCAGACATTATTAATTTATTTATCTTTATTATTATATAAATATAAATATTATTAGGGACATTTCTACACAGAACAACAATGTAAACACCAACAACTGTCAAATTACATTTTAGTAACTATTTCTTTATATATATAGAATTATATGTTTATCACAGCTCTTTTTACACGACGATATGACATTTTGTAATTACCTGGAAAATAACAAAAGGCAACTTTACTACAACTCCAGAGGGCGTACCATGACGTGTTAAAGCGTCAATCTTCCGGGCGAGATTAGAGAGAGAAGAGAGATGGAGCTATAAAAGGTGTATAGCTCTATTCCTCTTTCTCGCCCGAAAGATATATGGGTCTATTTAGATACATGACCTTGCTTTAAGTGGTTACAAAATATGTCATCGTAAGACGTCTTCTTATTCATAATGTTTTTTTTTATGTGATAGGTCGGCAAACGAGCAAACCGATTACCTAATGGTAAGCAATCAGCGTCGCCCATGGACACCCGCAACCACGGAGGAGTTACGAGTGCGTTGTCGACCTTTAAGGATTAGGGATTTGGAGATTTTGGGAAAGGGAACGGATTGGGGTAGGGGAAAGATTGGGCCTCCGGTAACCTCACTCACGCGGCGAAACACAACTCTTTGGTTATTTCACGCCGGTTTTCTGCGAGGCCGTGGTATCACTCCGGTCTATTTCGTGCCGAAGCATGACTCTCCCACACTTTATAATGACAGAGAATAAAGGGCAATTGGCAAAACCGTGTGGGATTTGGCCCATGCATAGTTAAGATTAAATAACTTTGCATATTTGAAGAATAGGTACAATGACCAACAAACAGGTCAACTTACTCTCATCGGTTATTTTTTATTGGGTTTTCAATTGTACATTAAGAACAATAAAGTTGAAAATCTAATAAAGATAGGTTGGGATACAGGTTGGTTTGAACATTGTACTCTTGCATATTTGGTATAGGTAATGATTCATTATTTTGACGATGCTTGAACTTATTTGATATAATGATTCACTATTTTGACGACTACTTTTGCCCAAATATCCTTGTTGTATAAATACCTCATCTAATCAGCCTTGAGTCGGTTGCGTCGCTCTAACGTTTCCATCGAGATCTTTGTGAACTCTTCCTGCATGCTGAGTTGTGTCTTCTCTACTAAGGTCGGGATGTCGTCTTTCGTCAAACCTTCAGTTTCAATCGTTGGCAGGAAGGACACGATGAACTCGCCTGGAATTAAGTATATAAATAGAATATGAGCATAATCCTTACAACAGCTAAAATAACTATATGAATCAGAATTCGAAAACCCACAAATAACAAGTAACATTTGCATATCTACCAAAGCGCACTAAACAAAAAATATGAGAATTTCATAAGAAATAGGCAAAAGAATAATATGTATTATTACCTACATCCAAAATTTTTATAAATACATTTCATCTCAGAAACATTGCATCAAAAACAAACTACAATTATACAAACTCATAACATTACAATAAAATGCACCAACGCATTTAAATGTAAAAATTCCATAGAAAGCCTCATTGGCGCTCAAACCCACACGTTAGGGTAAACCAGTTTCATAGTGAACAGGTAAGTAGATAAAGTATAATCACCTGAGCCGAATTTGTGTCGCTTCCCGTCGAGGTAATGGTACTTCGAAATAACAACGGGTTGGATGGGCGCGCCCGCGTCCATAGCCACGTGGAATGCCCCCTTGCGGAACGGCAACAGTCTGTCACCACAGTGCCTCGTACCCTCAGGAAACAGTAGTAGTTTTCTCTGGAAATAAAATAGAAATAATTGTTTTTTTTTTATACACTTACATAAAAATATTCTGACGCTTTTATTCCGTGGCGGCTTAAGCCTAGTGGGAAAGCAACCTTGCGTTTTGATTGATTCATAATACCTACTGCCAATGTGATTTATCATTTTATTATTATTAGTGTATAAGAAAGTGAAAATGAAATGGCATGATAAATTTAACTCTGTTTTTTTATTGTCAGTTTTCTATATTTTTTTGTGTATTTTGACGTACCCACCAATTTTTTTTACAGGAATAGACAGTCATAGTCGTCGTGTTTTTAATTATTCTGTTATTCCTGCCTTAAGTCAATTCAATAAAAAGTGATTAGGTAGAGTACATTAAGTTCCTAGTCTAATTTACAAGAAAAAGTAGAACAGGTCGGCCTAATTAAATCGTCTATTAATTATGGGTTTAAAATAAATACATCCACTAAATTCTACGTGACCTTCCTACGTTAAGATATGTACCTATATCAACTTACCCAAATATCATCTATACTAATATTATAGAGGTAAAATTACCCAAATATCATCTATACTAATATTATAGAGGTAAAATTTTTAAGTTTGTATGTAGTGGGTAATCTTTGGAACCGCTGGTCGGATTGCCAAAATTCTTTCACTGATAGATAGCTACAATGTTCCTGAGTGCTATAGGCTATAAAACATCACGCTACGATTAAATGGGTCGAGCAACGTGTGAAACCGCGCGAGAGTAGCTAGTAATGCATAAGTAGCCATCATAGGTCTTATTATGACTATGAATTTCACCTAATAGGTAGGTGCATCTTTTATCTAATTGTACCCATACACGAAAATGTGTCAAAATGTCTCCCACACATTTTGACTTCTGAGCGCATAACTTGACAATGCCAATTTTGCCAATTCTCTCTTTTGTAAATTTTAGAAAACCAGTGGTGAAATTGGGAAATTGCTACCCTTTTTGGTCATTGTTAGCAAGGAAGTTGAACACACGAAGCAAGGATTGGCAAATAGTATCTAGATACTTTAATGAAAGTATAACTAAACGTAATTAACTATTAGTTAGACACTTACGAAATCTTCAAAAATTCATATTTCATGTTATTAGGAAGTATCTTTTCTAGAATGCCTGATGTTCGTTGCCAGTTTATTTGCTTACCTTAACATTAGCCTACGAATACGATTTTACCTTGCAAAGTTCACAAGCTAGTATGAATTAGCAATCAAGGTTACCTAACTAATATGAGTGATCCTAAATTATTTAAAGGGACTTTTTTTAGCATCTACCCCTATTTATTGTAGTTAAGTTAATTTATAATAATGTGCTTAATTTCATTAGCATTTTTTATTTACTGTGGATAATAAAGATCATAATTCATGGATACAAATATTATGAATATTTAATGATCATGAAAATTGGATAGCCTTACTTTTTATAACACAATCAAGTCGTTTAAATAATAACTAAGCAATAACGTACTTAACTGTTTTCATTTTCCAAAAAATCTTATTAAAATATTGGAGGGCTCGTTCTACACGGGTAGGTCTGTGGTTACTGTACGCACGTGTGCGTACGCACGCACGAACGCACGCGTATCTACTTATTCTGAGTTTATATCTCTTAATAGCTAAATCAGAATAAATTGCCCTAAAATATTATATTTATGATTTATCATGCCCTACTGGCTTATAACTTAATAAATGAATTGCGTGTGTCGAAAACGAAAAATTAAAAAATACTTCACCAGTGAGAGTTTATCGGACCTCTTTGCTCGCTAGCAGTAGACTACTTAATAACAATTATTTCCATAATTAAATATTATGTCTTAGAAATGAATTATTACTAAGTAGTACCTGCCTAAAGGTATTGTAAAAGGATACTACCAATAAAGCTAACCAAATAGCAACTTACTAATCACTTTCCAAATATCTTCCCTACTAGGTATGCAGAAACAGTACACATACACCCATATATTTTCCAAACTGCTACTAATAACGTAAGCATTTTAATTCTGCATTTATGTCAGTAAATGTTTATATAACATTCGTTTTGTATCGCTTACATACGCTTATAGGGCCAATGAACTTTAGTTTTGAATACGGCATCAATAAAAGTGGGACTCTGCATATGAGTGAATTATGCATGTAGGTATACCTACATACGTAGCGTAGCAACCGTTGTTCCATTTATAAAACTATTGTTTGGACAATTGCAACATCTCCAAATAAAAGGTCACTTGATTATTTCTTACTTTCGTATTGTTGTTCAAGTGGCTTGGTTTGGATAATAACTCTGACAATTTCAAAAGTATTATGTTTTTAAATTTACTCTACCTCATTATAGAGTTCCCATTTTTTCCTAATAGCACATACAACGACGAACATGTCTTACTCTGTCTTACTATGCATGTAGGTACAACAAAAAAGATCCGTTAAAAAGATTACTCAAAATGAATTTCCGGCAAAGCCATTGATGCGGCTCGCTCTACAGGACTCAGATATTTGCTCAACTCAATCAAATATTTACTTAGAAATCCACTCTGTCGTAAACATTAGCGGATAGGTGTACCATTCCTAGCGATTAGATCATACGGAATGACGAAATGCGCCGTAAAACAACGCAAGCACAAGGTCTCTTTATTTGCAGGACTAATATGAACACATTAGACTCTGGCCAGCAGGAAAATGCGTGTGTTGAATACAATACAGTATAAACTATTACATTTACACTACTTAGTAACTCGACTTTGACACCATTGCCAAAGGTTAATTTATTGATTTGATTTTTATGTTACAATTAGGGAAAATACTTATATATTTTAATAATTCTTTTAATCCGGTTTTTTATATTATTTTTAAGTAAACACGTCGTTTAGATTTGTCCAGGATTTAGGTATATCAATTAGGGGTATTGTCGTCTCATATATTATGGGACATAACGAGACTAATATCCTACATTAGTTTAAATCCTAATATGCTTCACCCCCGTGTTAATTCTAGGCATCACCTATCCGCATACTAAATTGCAAATCGTTTCAGGCGATTATGCGTGAAAATAACAAATAACAACCACACATAACTTAAAAATAAATTGTCAACCTACTTATTTGCCTTAATTATCACACAGGTAATCTGTGAGCAGCGCTGTGGGCTACAATATTGAAGTACGTTTTGTATATCCGTAGTACCTAAGCTTTATATTGTAGTTGTTTGCTATTTCTTTTTAATAAAAATAAAAAAATACATACACACAAACTTCTACATTTATAATATTAAGTAAGATTTTTGTAGTGTCGTGAAAAGTGTCGGTTGTGCCATTATAATTCTATACAATTAAAACTGTCGCTTTCAATGCATATTAAGTTCATTAAACAATAGAATAGGTACCTACTCAACAATACGACGTGTTAGTGTAACCACACGACACGACACACCTCTGATTACATTACCTCTTATCAATGATTAATTAAATAGGTGGGACTGCGCTATTGTTTTAATCGTTGAGTAATGCTACTTAGTTTTTAGATATGACCGTTTGAATCTGATAAATTTCGCGTGCCGAATCATCTAGAAGGAAGGAAGTATTTTTAATAGGGTTGTACTTAATACTTTAACTGTTAATGCACTGCGGGACAAGCGCAATGAGCCACCGCGGCCTAGGCCTATTTAAAGCAGGAGAAGGAACAGGTGGGTTTTTAGTCAGTAAGAGTCTGACACTACCTACTCCCATGTCATTTGAAGATTTTGCTTTACAAAAAAAAATGTTTTTTTTTTTTTTATTATTACAAACATATTTAAAATTGTTAAAATACTGAATTGTAGACTAGTTACCTATATTTGCTCATCAAATAAATCAGTTATAGTATAGACTGAATGACTATCGGCTAACAAAACAAATTTTGTTTTTCTTCATTCTAACCTAACCTAACCTAAAAATTCGTTGTAATGTTGAATAGATATTTTGTGTGCAAATCAGTACTTACCTACATTTATTTAACGCTGAATAATATCTATTGTTTCAAATGCGTATGTGGTGTGGAATCAGCTAGATTTTTGGCAATACATTAGATACAAAATCCATCAGATTTTGATGAATTTAAAAGATTTGTAGTACAATATGCTTAGGTAATCAATTAGTTAATTTGTAGTACAGTTATTGGTAAAAAAAAGTTAGGTATGTCTGCTTAGGTAAATTTCTAAATGGAAGTGCAGTTAAAAAGTCCTCTTTTTAATACCTTTTGGTCCTTGATAGCGTCGACTTGCTTGTTGAGGGCATCGCGTGCACTTTTAGCTCCCCGGTCTATGAAAACGGTGCCCCACAGCCAAGTCGCAGTGCCAAACGGTACGAGGTACTGCAGCGACCGCTTCGAGACCACCGTACACCGAGACATGAGCGGCCATATTATTGCTAACGCTAAAAAAAAACAAAAACAAAACATCATTAAATTGCTTTAAACATTTAAGCATATTTTACAAGTTATTCTATATAACTTAATTACAACTCCAGAATACATATATTGATGAGGAAGGAAAAATAACTAATTAGTAACTTTCCTTGTTACTTACATACAACCTATAACGTATAACTATAAGTATTTTTTGTCAGGGGAAAATCATCAAATGACTTCTCCCGCCCAGGGTTAGGCGAGAGAGTGCCAGACTTTAAGTGACTAAAAACCCCCACGTTCATTCTCCTGTTTTGGGCCGAGGCCGCGGTGCCACATTGCGCATGCCCCGAAACCCCTGAACATCAGCCCTGTGGGGCCCCGTATGTGGTGGTCTTTTAGCTCAATGAGGCGCGCGCGGAACGCTACGCGCCGTACGTTCGGGTCCGGTTTTGGTCGGGCGGTGAGCTACCCTTACTCGCCGTCCGCAACTATAAGTATAATAACTGGCGAAAGTATGGCTTAATTTTTAGGCCCAGTCAACCAACTGATCGAATAATCGTTGTATGAAAACAATCATCCAAAAATATTTCCATCATGGAAGATTCCTGTATAATGTATACCTAGATAAAGAAACATTGAATATTCATATACGTAAGTACCTAAACTGCGTCAACACTGAAAATTGTGAATGTAATGTGCAACGATAATGCATAATGTGATGCTTAGTCTCATGCTATAAACTGCATACGTCACCATTTTGTTCCTTATTTAAATTTTAGCACACCGTTCTAATGGAACGGTCATAATCTTAAATATTATTGAACATTAGTCATTGTAATACTTGCTAATAGACGCTTTCAAAGAAAAGATAACCGTAAGTACCTAACTGAATCACCTATCAAACATTTTAAGAACGGAACGTTCACAATAACAGATTAGTATTTATAATAACATAATCTGTGTTGCGAGTACAAAACATATTGTGACTAGATTCTTTCGTAAGTATTTTAATACCATTGAGAAATAGTTTATCTTTATTACAGGTACGATAAGTATGCATGTATGACCGTCTGTGTGTAACTGAGCTCCAAAACGACTTTACCGATTTCGATGTGTATGAGTGGGTTCCTAGTAGGGTTTAACTTCACAATTGGCTTCATTACGGGGCCTTACATTCGCACCCAATAGTCTACTCTACTAAGGTCAAACAGGACAACAATCATCACTAATCGTTACATTAACATATTCTTTATTAACTTAGGTAAGGCGTTTTTAAATATACATATAATTTTTATTAGATTTTTAAGGGGCACTAATGTAGCTGTCAAAATGCTTTGTTCTACTTACACCACAAAGGTCTTTTGACAGGCAATTGTTAACATGGCGACACTAAAAACATATTATTAAATACTTTTAATAATGAATTAATCCTCTCAATGTCATTCGATACGATATCTCTTACTTACAAAAAATAGGAAAGTCAGAAGTGTGTTGACGTAAAGCTAATAATCAGTCAGTAAAATAATGATAGGTCATCATTTTATCGGTGTATTAGAGCGAAATATGGCTTAGCTAAGTCTATAATGTGACCAGCTGTGAAAACTCCCAGTAGATAGTAAATAGGTAGGTATTTGAGTCAAGGGCTTGATATCTATAATCTATTCCTAACAATAAAACAGTAAAAAAGTGTGTCTGTACATAATTATAATGTTCAATAAAACCAAAACAGAGTGATAAGAAAACCATAATAGAGATATAATATGAAAAAAATGTTAGCACCTTGTCTGTCTGCACACGTTAATCTGCGAAACTAATGGATGGACTTGAATCAAACTCTTTTTATTGTATACTTAGTTAATGAGCCTGGGCACCTAAAATCGCCTGCTCCACACTACACGGACGACGTTGATAATGCAGAAGCTAGTAGTGAAATATTTTTTATATTAACAGATCCATTATTTATTGTAGAAAAAACCATGTTACTAAGTGAAAAATGGGTTACAAAAATATGTATTTCTAAGTATTTTCTATCCTGACCTATTTAACATTTAAAGCACACAATCAACAAAGTTATTTGATATGCAAGTAAAAAAGAGAATTAAATATGTAAGCAATGAATGCCAACACTCATTTTTAAGTGATAGGGCGGCACACTAGCCTATGGGTAACCTGATGGCAAGCAAAACACAGGAGTTGCTAGTGCTTTGTCTGTGTCGGGGTCAGATATTCCAAAATCCTCAAGGATTGTTGAAAGGGGGTGGATTAAGTCTCCGGTAACTTCACTCACGTGGTTAAACATTGTATTACGAGTACGCCAATTTTTTGTGAAGCCAATGTTCTTCATTTCTGACTGCTAGGGTTCGATTCCCGCACGGAACTACACTTTGTGTGATCCACAAATTATTGTTTCGGGTCTGGGTGTCATGTGTATGGGAAATAGTATGTTTGTAAAAGCATCCACGACACAGGAGAAAATCCTAGTGTGGGGCAACGTTTTATTTAAAAAAGAAAAAGATGCCCATTTGAATCATAACTCTGGCATACCCTGTCCTAAATTATCTAGCCTTTGTTTTTTACCTTTACAGAAAATTACTTTGCAGTCTATACATATCGGAAGCATATACCTAAGTATGTACTTAATATTGGTACTTAAATAGAACAACAATATTCACAAATATTATTATATGTACGTACCAAATAATATTGAAGGGAAGTGATCGAATATTTACTTAACAGTAGCGGGCTTTATCTTCTCAATAACAATTTCCATCAGCTTTCTCTTATCATGGATAAACAACGGACTGATACAAAGTCCGTCACGAGTGATAACGCTAAGTAACCAAGGGATTAGGTGGCACGATGAAAATTAACATTATTTACTAATTAACCTTGTACGCTTGAAATAGAAATGACTTGCGAATAAAGTGAATATTTTTGCCTTTAAATAAAATGCAGAACTTAAAAAATATACTCTACATTTTTTTTTATGTGATATGTATTTAGTATGTGATATGTTTTACGTAATTTTTATTTATAAGTATTTCGTTGTTCATACAATTAATTCATGTAACCAAATGTATTCAATCATGTATTCGGCCTCACAGAAAACCGGCGTGAAACAACCACAACAACAACAAGTGAGGCCCAATACTTCCCCTACCCCAATCCTTTCCCAATCCATGAATCCCCAAAATCCCAATCCCTAAAAGGTCGGCAAAGCACTCGTTACTCCTCCGGCGTTGCGGGTCCATGAGCTCCGCTGATTGCTTACCATCAGGTAATCCGTTTGCCAACCTACCTATACATAAAAAAGTATCATATTTTGAATTCGAACTAACTAACGTTGTAAAAGCATAATTTTAAATGTCGTTGGATAAGTTTACTATAAGTAACATAAAAACGTTTTTTATTCTTAATTTAAGTTATTGATATACTAAAAACACATTATCATAAAAACCACAATTTTCTTTGATGTTTTTGAATTTATTTTACAATAAAAATCTGATAGCCTTCATATTTTCTTATCTAGATTGTAAACCTTATCACTTGCACAATCCGTGTGCCTATTATAATGCTATACGTTCGTTACAAAGACAACTAACTATAGTAAGTAAGTATCTATGTTTTTTTTAATTAAGTTAATTTTCTTCCCTGTTCCTAGAACTAAACAGATTTACTTTAATATTGTAAAGGTTTAACTTTAATATTGTAAGGTAACCTTAACGGGGCCTAAATGTGAGTAAAACTTTTATTTAGTGTCTTGGAAAATTCTTAATGATAATAATATCTATCAAAATTAATCGCTTGAAAATCCTCTCATGACAAAACCAAAAAGACGAAAAATAATTAGATGAATAAATTCGAGCGAGTAAGCAATCGGAGGAGTAACGAATGTTTTGCCAGCCTTTCAGAGATTAGGGTTTCGAGGATTTGGGGATTAGGGGTAGGAAGAAGGTTTGGGCTTCCAGTAACCTCATTCACACGGCGAAACACCACTCTGTAGTTATTTCAAACCGGTTTTCCGTGAGACCGTGGTATCACTCAGGTCGAGCAGACGCATTTGTGCCGAAGCATGGTTCTATCACACTTATGATGATTTAATTGAATATATTTCACAGTTCATATTCCCTTATTAACACGCCCAAAACTACTTTATTAATTACATAAATTGTAGATAATGATATCGAATACCTATTTATCTACATAAAATAATAAAAAATGTCACATCATCGTGTAATCAATTGAATTATTTCTACTTAAAACTGATTACGAAATTCAAAATGCAATGTACTTAATAGATATATAACAAAGTCACGTGTAATATGCAAAGTATGTTTATAATTGCAAATCGTCATAAATATATACCTATAATTATATTTAGGTAAGTACAAACCTACTCGTAGAACTGTCTGTTTTCAAAATAATCGTGTGTTTAAACTTAACATTGTTTCATCGTCTAAACAGGGACTCGTTATTCCAGTTCCAGTTTAAAATAGAGTTACTTGATAATATACCTACTTACATTAAATTTTAGAAGAAGAGTAGTGGAAAGTTTCGTCATAATCGGTTAATCCGTTTGGGAGCTACCATGATACAGACAGACATGCAGAAATGACGTTACGCTTATAACTATCATCTCTAAAAGTTAAAAAAGGATTGAGAATTACCTATTTGTGAAAAATCATAACTTAAAGGTATATTTTAATAAGTAAGAAAATTATTTACCGTATGTGCCACAATATATTTATCTATTTGAAAGTGAGGACTCGGTAAAACTGGGACAAGGACAAACCCGCCCTTAACTCAAGTTTGGAAATTCGTAAGAAGAGAGTAACCAAACCCTCTCAACTCCTTATTCTCACAATACTTACTAAGCCCATGATTATACTGTAATAGTACGCACAGATACCCATCAAACAACTGATGGCTGCATCGATAACACATGCCACAGGAAGCATTATAATGATAATTCCCGAGTTGCACAGTAATGGCTGTTGTAATGTAAATAATGATAAAATAGAACTTATTTACTGGCCAATAATTTTAAAAATCGTCCATAAATATTACAAATTGCTTGAAATTGAGATTGAATAGACAATAGAGTAACAATGATTGTCAATTTTTATGATTACCCCTAGCCACTGACTGCGACAACAACATATCTGTTAGAAACCGGACGAGGATCAATCCGATAGTTTCAAACTAGTCAAATTCAGTACCCTATAAATTTTGTATGAAATCGCCACTTACGATAAAACGTCATATATTTGAAATTGGTTAGAAAAAATCTTTAATTAAGTAGGTAGGAATATCGTCAAATCAATGAATGAAAATATGATTAAATTTCAGCTATTTACTGTATTGAAAAGTTAAAATCGTTTATTTTTGACTCGGAAAACTACCCAATTTGTACCGACATATTGTAAGATCAAGAGCATCAAATGTGTATAGTATCTATCAAATGGAAAATAAAGTTGCTTTTTGAGTCGTCCTTTATAAGTTTGCGCGCAACACCGTGTCGCGCCTCGATATAAACTGAACGAACCCGCTGGGAACGTAGAAATTACGGGAAATTATTTACATGCAAACATGCCTTTCAGCTTATTATCTATTACATACTGTTTATAGTTAACTTTTGTCTTCAGCTGTGACTGGTAGGTAATATAATAGTTATTATTATGACGTTTCTTTGCAGCTGCAGACAGGTAGTAGTTTTGAAATACCAAAATGATGCGTTTGATACGATGATGATAGTGATAGTGCTGATAACAACTCACCGTAAAGATCCAAGCTGCTCTGATGATTTAGTAGAACAACCGCTCCCCTACTATTGTCCACGTTCTCTAGCCCTCTGACCTTCCATCGTAGACCCAATAACCTCGCAAAGCATCTAAGGAAGAATGCTGGTATTCTGAAAAAAAAAACAACAAAAATAGGTTACAATTCAATTTAATATGTTTTTTTAAATGGCAAACCGAAGACCGTGCTCATATCAATTATGCGCTTATGGTTAATTATCGTATTCGTCGTTAATTTCACAAATGGAAATGAACATTGAACAAAATACTGTTCAATTTGCATATCAATTCCAATTTTTGTTACCTTACGCTAAAATATCGAAGAAATATTTTTTTTATATTGTTCGGCGTAAAGAAACAATGCAACGTTTTTTTTTGTTGTTGTCAGACTTTACTGCCAGCTTCGAATACTAACAGCATATTGTAGTCAATATCGTACATAAATTTAGTCTTTTTTTTTATTTGTGAGACAGTGAGTTAAAAGAGAATGGACATTGATTAGAAGTTGGTTTCGATATCGGATTGGTGTTTTTATAGATATTTGATTTGGAATTTAAGAGGGAAGAAAAGAAGCAAGTTGTCGTGAACACGGATCTTGCTGGACTATTACAATGGCCGACAAAGACGTAACAGTATGTCGAGGGAGCCTAATGTACCTATTTGAGAAACCAAAATTTCCGCTGGATGTTGGACTGGATATACAATATTCATTTTACTTTACTATTTTAAATGCGCGCAATGTCAGATCCAAATTGAATTCCGAACACAAATGTGTAACATAGACAAAATAATTCAACGAGGAAAAAGGGCATAGACAAATCCTTGACCTAGTTAAGGCTGCCATACACTGAACCACTAACAATGTCTTGGCGGTTACTATTGATTGTTCGCCAAGATAAGCACTAAACTGAGTCACTAAAAGTTGTCTAGCCACTCTAGAAATTCTTTGGAATATCTCATTCAGTAGCGCAGATATTGAGTGAGGATTTATTTATATCATACATAATAGAATAAAAAATTGATAATTTCATCATCAGCCTGTTGTCGTCCACTGCTGGACATAGGCCTCCCCAATTGTTAATGAACGTGGCCTCAAATAAAAAGTAGGTAAATTACGAAATTAATACCTTCCATGCATCGAATCGAATTATAAACGGCATTAAAATCATTTTTTTTATGAGAGAGAACGGAAAACATTTTTTTTTTTTGTATTTTAGTTCTTGCGTTAACAGAAATACATTACGTGTCGTTCTATTCAAATTTCAATTATCTAGTTCTTTCACAGTTTTGATATGTACTAATGGAGTCTGTTTTTCTCCGGGCACGAAGACAAAAAACTGGCAGCTACCTAGCGTAATTTGTAAAAGTTTTCCGATTTGTGTTTCTATAAGTAGAACCCTCTAAAAGACATTTGCTAGTTTGACAATCAAAAAAATACAGAACAAAATAAAATACGAAATGATGAAAGAGTAAAAACATACATATATTTCTGATAATTATAACCCACAGAAAAAAATACTGGAGTATTTAACAGAACAAGATATATTTCTATATCTTGTATATCAACAATGCCTTTACCGATTTGGCTAATTATGGTATTGAATTATTCGTAAAAGTCCAGAGAGGGTTTGAACGTAGAGAAAATAAAAAAAGACTTGTAAAAGTGTAAAATCGAAATCCACGAGGGCGGAGATGCGGGCGCCCGCTAGTATTGCATTCGAAAACGTGCAGACAGAATTAAGTATTAACCTGCGTAGTCTGCAGTAGCAATCACGTAGCAACTACGCAATAGCTACGGAGCTTCTACGCAGCGGTTAGTCAGAGTCTACGCAGAAGCTACGATACCACTACGCAATTACTACGCAGTGTTTAATGACAATAGCAGCCAACGCATAGGTATGTACATTCTGAAGGAAAACATTATAAACGTAATCATTCCTCGGACAAAAATAGTACCTTCATTTTCCTACTGTTCTTATAACAGGAAATATTTACGTATAAACAATAGGTAAAGGGCATTTATAAATACAATGCTGTTTATATGTGGAATTTACGTAAACATAAATATGGGTGTAAAACATGCATGAATGCGTGTTGCTATGCAAAAACCAATTCAGATTACAATAGGTATTGAACTTGAAGACCTTCGATTGTTTATCATGAAGTAAATAAAAACGAAAAAAGTATAATAATTAGTGTTAACCGAATTGCCCGTTGAATATATATTAACTACTTACCTATTTATTACGTAAGTGTATGTAACTCACGTCAACTCATTAAACACGAAACAATTTCAAGGGTCTTTCGAAATATAACTTAATTTTTACAGACTTCAAAAAGAAGGTTAGTTCTGTGTTCAACTGTTTGTGAAAATGAGTAAAAGTAAAAAGTAATAAATGTATTGTAAATAACAAATATCGACTTACTCATGTGAATAAATAATAGTCCCGTTGCGACTTGAAACTAGTAGGTAGAGCTTTTCTCAGGTCGTTATTTTCAATATTTTTTTATGTCTATCTCACGATAGTTACTATCCAAAAATATTAAAAAAAGTCAATATACACGTGGATTGTCAAATTTTAAAATAATAACCCGACACATTTATTTTTGTTTTCTGAAGTATAGGTCAGGGTTGGTCGCCTTGCCTTATTTATTTGCCTTACACTACTATTGTCTCCTATGTCGTTGGTACGTGATTGCGTTTATAAAACATCACACCTACACGCGAAATAACAATCAGTGGATCACTCAAAGAATTGTTCTGTCAAGGAGTCAAGTCGCGACATTTTGGCTCAGCAGACAGTTTATCAGACACTCACTGTACTAACATCCACTTAAACTAAATGTTAAGTGTAATTACAAACGTATAATAACAATAATAGAAGTTAAAAACTCTTGCTCTTTTATACTAGGGAAAATGGTACCTCTCTTCTCTTATAGAAAAACGTTGCATTATAGAAAAACGTTGCGTTATAGGAATACGCTGCGTTTACCTACATATACAAATTCACATCCACAGCAGCCAGTTGCCCAGCCTCTGCAGCAAGCTTGCAATCGAGTCAAATGCCTTCTCTCGCCTTGGGTCAAAAGGCAGTCTCTTACTGACTAAAACGGTAAAAACCATCCCATTCCTTTTCCTGCTTTAGGCTAAGGTCGCGGGACATTATTCCGCTCCTCTGGCTGAACAAAACTCTCTTGGGACCATCTGTAGTAGTCTAATGGATATAGTTGGTCCTTTTTTATGTCAGAGGAATGGCTTCTCCCGCCCACGGAAGGCGAGAGTGAGTGTCAAACTCTTACTGACTAAAAACACCCCGTTTCTTTTTTTTGCTCTGGGCTGCGGACGACTCATTGCCCTTAACCCGCAAGGCCGCAACCCCGGCTGAACATCAGCCCTATAGGGTCCCGTCTGTAGAACTGTTTGAGGCGCGCGCGAAACGCTACGTTCCGTACGCTCGGGTCTGGTTCTGGTCGGACGGCGAGCTACCTCTACTCCTAATAGAGGTCGTCTCCTCGTCGTCCGCACGGCGAACTAAATGCCATATGGCATTCTCTAACAGTCAATCAAAGAAAAATATACGAAGATAAAATAGGTACGGGAAATCGGAAAAAAGTTTTAAAATAAGAATAATGTGTTTATAGGTATGTATATATGTAAATAATAACAATAATATAGCTTTTTTGACGCCTCTACTCTCAGGCTGATTAAAAAAAAATGTTTTACGCTGGATAGTTTCCTTTATAGAAAGGTGATATAGCCTATAAAAACCACGCCATTGTCGATAAAAACAAGGCTATTATCGATAAGTAACCGTGCTAGAATAACTGGTAAAATAATACTCACAATGCGTTTCTCGGGTCGAATGGTTTGATCAACATAAGTGGCACTGGTGCTGTGGCGAATATTAACGCCATTACGATGAATAATGTGAACTGAAAAGAAAAAACACAATGAATGCAAGTCTTATCGAACTGATTGATGGAACTGGCCTATCTAGAAGTAAATGGTTCAGCAATTGACATAATATGGCGAGTAAACCATACACAAAAGTCATAAGTGCTGTTGCCGAAAAGAAGACTCTCGGATACCTACAACAAAAAAAATCTAAATACGTCAAATTTTCTTTCCAAATAACTAAGCAGAGACAAACATTACAAATATCTAAGTAATAAAAGAATAAAAGGTGCACTTTCGAGGCAAATATTACACAATAACGTTATCAATATTTTTTTGTTTTCTTTGTGCTACTTTGACAGCACATAGTATACAATTTCGCAATATATTTAACTTTCACAATTATAGCATAGACTTTTAGACTTTAGACGTACCCTAGAAAGTAGAAACAAACAATATCTAAGGCTTTTGTGTAAGCGTTTCGCTGTGTGCATAGAATGGCTGTGTAAGTGAGGTCTCCGGTAAGGCCCAATCCTTCCTCCAAATCTCATCCTCAACCCTTAAATTTCCTAATCTTCAAAATTCGCACTTGTGGCTCTTCGATGGGCGGAGACGATTGCATACCATCAGATGATTCATCTACTCATTTGCCGAGCTATCATTTAACCTTCTTATCCCTAAAGAAATAGGCAGAGTTCCTAGTGCACATACTTTTATTATAGAATAAAGCAGCATACGAGCATCCCAAGAACATCCCAAAGAAGTTGCAAGTGGAGGAATTACAATATTACACCTTTTTGTCACTCTATAGTCTATGGAAGTATATTACGAGTTCCTACAAGCACTTAATAGGGGATGAGCCTATTGCCATAATAATCATTATGTATTACTACATACAATTGAAAAGCCTCGATTATTTGCAAATACTAAAAAAATGGCTTCATTAAAAATCATAAAATTAATTATGACAGTAACTATTGTCTCTGAACTGAATCAATCTTTATTTTCTTACGAAATGGGTTATTTCGTAAAGACTCAAAAAACATACTTATACAAAAAAGAAATATGCTGACTATACTTATGATGTACCTACATAATATAATATACGTTATAAAATAAATGTAGCAACCACTTGTTATAAATAACAAAATGCAAAATGGCAATTTCGTAACATCTTTATCTAAGTAATAGAAGAGACTACTATGTATGTTCCTATCTCTATTTGGTCAAACAAACAATGTTATAAATGAGTAACAAGCCAAAGTCGTGTGAACTAGGTATCTACTAATTTATTTGTGAAATACGGTTTGCTCGAAAAGATGTTGCCGAATTGACTTTACTTATAGAAATTGTGTTTCTTTTCTTATGTCAGAGATAGGTACAAATCTATCATATGAATGAAAATAAAAAAAATCCTAAGTATTGTAAATTTATTGACTTTTAAATCACAAAGAATTGCAATTTATTATTATAATTGCTATCAAAGTTTATCATGACACAGATATATCGAATTCTATGTATATTAATGTAGCAGCTGTGGTGAAGATAAAGCTAAGTACTTAAATCTGTTAATCATATTTTATACCCACATTATTAAAACTCTACTATTACTCATTGTGTCTACCCAAAAAAATACCTATTTAATTTCTTAATTTTGAGTGTCTATTTTCTTTAAAATATATTTATATTCTAAAGTGATTAGATTTCTTTGAATAAACAACGCATCTAAATATTTGTTTGTATTCGTAATATGACTATGTCAACGTTTATTTTTACATAGGAAACTTCCCGACTATGCAAAGTATCAATATCAGTGACCAAAGTCCATGATGATCCAAAGTACAGCGATATAGCAATCAATCATCATCATAATTATTGTTGCGAAACCACCATACAACAACCGAACTTTGCACTTTACAAATCTTGTTTTTATGCTAAAATTCCAATGATCCAATATTTATTCATTTCCAGAAATGAAGGAATCAATTGGTTGAAAAAACATACATACCTTAATGTAATATCTGGCCATAGAGCTAATTGTGAAGAGTATGATAACCAGCGCCATAACGCACCCCAAAATGACGTTCGCCGACATTGTTTCGTCCTAAAAAAAAAAGAAACGTGACAGATTATTTTTCCCGCCAACTAATTATCCGCCATTGACTATTATGTGAATTACATCGAAACCATTGTGTAACGATAAAACACTCCCAGAGAACTGAGCACTTGATTGATAACGAACGGCGATATGGTCAATGGCCACTTAGTATTGACGCAAAAACTGTCCTTATTTTGCATATCAACATAACGAGATACTCCCGATCCTTTGTAGGTCTATGAGGGGTATAGGTAGGTATGTAAAGTACCTACTCGTACGAGTGGTCAACGAATATGATTGTTAGTTTATTGGACTGGATACAAATTACTTCAATGAATATACTTCTTAGTGACACATTCAAGTAGGTTTATAGGATTGTGCAGTTTTGTAATCATGTTAACCTTTGGTTATTTTAATCTTACCTACGTAATAAGTCATTGTAATATTTTCTACGAAATAAATCCCAAAAGAATACATATGTAGGTAGCAGTTAACTGTTTACCTATTTCTATAATTAAATTCGAATAAAATTAAACAAAAGATCTACAGACAATTATAATTATTAATTAAGAGTTGGCTATTGTGATGTTTAACGAGTCAGTTATCGTGTACGTAGTATGTATGCAGTCTATGAGTCTATGACTAGATAGAAAAAATACTCAACTAAGGACGGTATAATTTCTATAAATGCAACAAAAAAATATGTTTTCGATTCCAGTATTTGCATTATATTATTATAGTCAGCCGAGGTTGTGGATCAAGGGCAATTTAGGCCTCGGTCTGGATCAGGAGAAGGAACGGGATGGTTTTTAGTCAGTAAGAGTCTGACACAGTGACACTCCCTCTCGCCCCAATCAGGAGAAGTCCTATTATAATATTCCCCACTCGAGAAAATTAAGTAAGTATGTTAATTTAGCTGGATCGCCCTGCAGAATCTGCAGACACACTGACACCGCTTATTCAGAAAAACACGGTAGGTAAAATACTTAATAACAATAAAAACTCATCGCAAAACAAATTAGAAATGATCAAGGTAAGGTTATTCAAATTGATGTTTCTATTTTTGTATTGATAATATTATGAATCAAGAACTATTTATCTGTTCTAAGATGATGTGCCTACCAAGTACCTACTCACCTACATGTTCACCGGTTTGTTTGTGAACTGATTTTGTAATAATTATTGAAGACGCTTACATTAAGTCCAATCAATTGTACTTAAGTAACTCAATACATAATAATGGTTGGCCCAGTCTAGCTGACTAATTGGACTATATTTTTTTATTTTAACTACGTAAAATCATTAATCGGCCTTTTAAATTCTATGTATTGCCAAATGATCCGATTAAATGTTGATATGCTCTGCATTTAATCGGATCATTTGGCAATACATCGACCACCATCACATCATACGCACGTTTCAAGAACTGGCCTTTGTTCAACCCTATAAGCCTCGCATAGCCTTTTTGGATCAGTTGCAAACGCGTCTGTCAGGCCTACTTGTCACCTAAACTGGCAGATTTCATAATAACGAACCGCGGTCAATTTTAATCAATCGATATAACTATTAGTGTTTCTGCCTACTTTTGAAGGACTTATTCTACCCATGAAACTGCGAACAACTGCAACTGAGACAGAAAATTGGCAACAAAGTAATTTTAATTAAAGAAATTTGTGGAAAATCTATATTAATATTATAAAGAGGTAAAATTTGCAAGTTTTTATGTAGGGGTAATCTTTGGACCCGCTGGTCGGATTTCCAAAATTCTTTCACTGATAGATAGCTACAATGTTCCAGAGTGCTATCTGCTATAGGCTATAAAACATCATGCTAAGCTCAAATGGAGCCGAGCAGCGGGTGAAACCGCGTGAGAGGAGCTAGTCTAGTATATTCCACTAGATACACACACTCATGCAATAGCACCTAACATAGTTTACTTCATTACTAATTGTTTACAAAGTACATAATTACGTTATGTTTGAGGCTTGTCAAAAGTTAGCCTTGCCGTTCTCTGAACTGTGTCTACTTATGTGGTGATGCAGTTACAAAAATGTCCAAAAGCCAAATAATAAACTATCGTCTATTTAAGTACAGTGAATGGACATTTTGGACGAGCTTGGCCTAGGGAAGTATATGTAAATGGAGTATTTCTGGTATTTGAGTCAGAAGTATAGACTTTTCTGATTTATAGTCAGTAACCCTTGCTCGGATAGGTTAGACCAGACAAGGTCTATCTAGGCATTCAATCGTGAAAAGACCATTTATTCACAATTGCCAAAATTGAAATCGGATACTTGTCACATAACTAATGAAATGTCAGAGTTTCACGCAACTCTTTTCATATTACTTCATATCAAAATAACTGTCTTAAATATTATGAAAAACAAAGAAATAATAATATGAAAGAGAAGGGATATTCTATTCTGATAGGGCGACGTTTGATAGAGGAGAGTAGAAAAATAATGCATATTGTGCTGACTCCACCAGGTGAAGAGAGGAGAATGAAGATTAAAGAATATTGATATTCACAATGATGTAGGTAGTACATACATTAGAATTCTAACGTCATGAGTCACGTAAGATCATGTTTACGCCATAAACTAGTGATAACTCCAACTAGACACATCTCACGTGGCGACTATTGCAATTCCGGATGTGTTTGCTATATTAGTCGCCTACACACAATATCAAAAACAACAATCTAATTAAATATTTACTTATTATAGTTATAACTTCTAACATATAATTAAATAGAGCTAATACTTGATGATGATATTAATATAAAAGTAATTCTTATATATCAACAATTACTAATTAACTAGAATGCTAATGTTTCGATATTTTCTGATTTAAGTATGCGAATATCCCGTTTTGTATGGAAATTTTGATATTTTTAAGAAATTAGTCACTAATTTAATTTAAATTCTAGCAATATTATTTTAAACAATTCCATTATTTTCGAAGAATATTAAATAATCGAAAATGGCATAGGCTGCGTTGACTATAAAAACTCTATTCTGGACATAAAAACATAAAGTTTACCTATTCGCTAGTTCAATGTTATCGGTTTAATAAATTAGTTAAAAGAGTTGATTGGAAATATTTATTTACATTCCCATTATCGTTGCACGTGAGATTTGATAACCCTAGTGACCGTTAATCACGCACTGATCCAAAGAGTATGTAACCACACTGATCATACAGCAACACTTTTTCCATAGACAAGGATTAATATAATCTATAAGTATCTGATAGCGACTGAAAAATAGGTAATATACAAAGAAGTTGCTTCATAGCTGATTAGGTAGCTCATTAATTTATGTCGAATAGTGCAACGAGTTGTAAACTAGAATAAAATATGCAAAGGACCTAGATTTTTTTTTCATTTAAATACAATTCTAACTGCGGTCTAGATTAAACTTAGGTACTGGAAACAGAATGGTTTAACAGTTGACGGCGTTCTATAGATTCAGCTTGTCTCATACAACAAAAGCAAATGTTTATGTAGCTATTTGTTATTATTTTTAAATGGGTACCGAAAATGGCGATAGCAGTGGACGGTCATTTTTCTATAAGTAGGTATTTGGAATACTAACCAATATTTTAAAGTTCTTATAAAATGAAGGGCACACATTACTATACGGAAGTAGGCACCAAATACAGTACCTATGTAGCACAGACTATCACCTATTCGACCTACCTATTCTACTTAACTTTTTCTTATTAGGATATCATCACCAAGTGAATAGCTTAAAGGACCACATAACCAAATTGAAAAAGGATTTTTCTAATCGGAACCGTACTTCTAGTTATAAGTAGGTATCTACAATGAAATATGAATCCAATTTGAAAAAACAATGTACCTAGTAATTTTAATATAGGTATGATATTTCGACTTAGTTTTTTAATGAAATTTAAATCAATTCCCTTAATTCTAACCAGCCAGTTAAGTAGGCATCTGGGTTGAACTGTTAAACTTATTGATATCTGATTGTTATAATTGAGTGTACCAGGGCAGTGACCCACATAATTAGGGTTCACGGGCGTTTGGGTTCATATTTTCGAGCCGAATTCAATGAAAGTACTCAATCAAGATGACTCTATACTGACATGAAAGTTTCGATAAGTAGGTATATCTTAGGAGAGGTTGCTTTAAAATCAGTTCAGTAGTAATCTACTCTATGATACCGTTAGAACCACAAAATTAAATATTAGGTACCTACCTACTATGAATAGTTACAGTTATGCTCGTGTATGATTTAATATCTATGCGAGTGCAGACATTGAAGAAGGCAATATGGTATGGTATGGTAGATAGTATACCTACCTAACGAAGGTTTGCAGTTCAGACATTAAAGTTTTCGATTAACTTGCTATAAGAAGCTTAACTCTACCTAAAATGTCCTCTAAACAGAATGCATCAGAGCAGATTCGTGTCTTAATTATAAAACTACGTAGATTTATGTTTTCAATAAAGCCCAAACATTACGTCTCACCTTTGTTTCGTATACCAGCAGTTAAGTTTTATAACAATATAATTATGTAGATACCTACCTACTATGTGGATGCCTTTGGTTTATGAACCACACTCAACCGGTAAGTACCTACCACACTACCTATACAAAAAAAAATAACTTCTTCTGAACTTCTTTTTTTGACGGACGAAGAAGACGGATCGGCTGATGTAAGCGATTGACGCCGCCCAAATATTCACCCGCAACAACAGCAGAGTTGCAGGAGCATTGCCGGCCTTTTGCGGAAGAAGGAATTAAGCATGACGATTATGATTGTGGGCAAGGATGCCTCCAGTAACCTCATTTCCAGGCTGAGGTTGAAGAAAAGCGTTGGGCCGATTTAAAAGCGTTTATATTTGCTCATTATCAACTGGGAAAATTATTTTATTAAAGGCTAAAACTTATCCCTGACTGCAACTACGTACCTTATTAAATTATATTTCTACCTAATTGTATGGTATAATGAGGAAGGAAATTAAAAATAATGTTTAATGCACCGTCAGATAGGTACCTACCTACTACGTCTAGGTAAAAGTAACGTTACACAGCTGAAATTATACGATATTAAAAATTACCTATTTTGGATAGGGTTAAGTACTATTTCGGTTGTTTAGGTACCTTTAATCAAAACTTAGGGCCATTACAATACAGAATATTCGTTTCATTCAAATTGCCGGGCAGTAAGGTGGATAACTAGGGTTGCCACCTTTTTTTGCAGTTAATAAAGTACATTGGTTATTATAGGTAAGAAAAAAAGTACATGGGATCAAGATAAAGTACAATTTATTTTTCTTTATTTTTATATTTCAAAACATATTTTTTATCTCTACTAAAACATCAGAGACGCTTTGTTTCTTTCATCTCTTCATCTCGCTGTTCATCACAGACTTTTCAAAATCCCAAAAAAATCAAATCATATAAAATAAAGTATTTTCGTGTACTCTTTTGTTCTCATAAAGTATAGAGTACAATTATATGAATTAGAGTACAATACTTTATTATAAAGTACGGGTGGCAACCCTATGGATAACTGATAGGACCATATTGGGTGTTTTGTTACGTTTGGAACTTACAATATTACCTTGACAACTAACAGTTCATTAATTTCTTTATCTGCAATTACCAAAATATCGTAAAATTTGAGATAAGCTACCTCAATGCTAAAAACATTGTATCAATATTGCACGTAGGTAGATAATTTCTTATTAAATAAATGATGAAATTTACTATAATTTAATTTTATTATAAGTTTTATATTTATGATCCGATTATTTTACTTTTTTATGTTTACATGCTCTTTTAACTAAACAATGCACAAAAATAAATAACAACTTTAAACTGCTTACTTACTTTAAGATCACAACTTCAGATGAAATAAAAATTGGCACTAAGTAGGTACCCAAGTAACACAGACATGCTGAATAGTGTTTGAGTAAAAGTAATTCGAAAATATTTACAGATATAAGCTCCATAACGTGTGAGGAAAGGCTATTGAAATAGCCAAATTCTGAATAATTTTCTCTTTCTGCCTTAATAGCCATTTATGCTTGATAAAAGTTGTATTAAGGTCGACTATTATTTTTAAAGCTTAGTAATAACTTCTGTACAGCATAAAACGCAGATATTATTAAGCCTAAAGCATTACAGGTGACTTTAATTTGAAAAATATTGCCCAGGTCAGCATTTATCTGTATAATAGTATAAGTAGCTGAATAAACGTAATTATCTAATACTAATAAACAAACTCTTCTCAACTTATTGCTTATAAAACCACCATACTCTGTAAAACTGTGTCCACGGCAGCTGTCTTCTGAATAAGAGTGTAAGTAATTTCTAATGAAAGGAATATTAGCATTGTATTTTGAATAACAGCTTTTATTTTGCCGTCAAGTCATATAAGGTTCCACATTTTATCAATTATTCAACTACTGTATAAAAGTATTTTCTGTGTTCTAAATAGAGCTTATTTTGGTATAAGGGAAATAAAGTCATAGTTTATAGCTAACGTAACACAGATGGAAGTCGAATGATGTATTTTAATTCCGCAATTACTTGTAAAAATACCATTTTTAAAGAACTTATAACGAGTTTTTCTGGGTAGTAAGTGAATTAAAGACGTTTAAAACATTGTTTTACTACGAGAGCGAGCTTAGGTAGTCGTAATTTGAGTCAAGTCCGAACAGATCCAGTTAAAGGGAGTTCTGTACCTTCAAATAATGCCGTTATAGATTTTGTACAGAGTTCAGAAGATAATATTTCCGCATCTAGTGAAGATAAATCAGATGTGAATTTTATTGAAATTAAAAAATGGGCTCTTAGTAAAAATATTTCACAAGTCGCACTGAAAAAATCAATAAGAGAATTTCATTTTTTATGTGAAATTTTGTTCGTGAAGTTAGTTATTATAATTAAAAGCGTTTAAAATTATCAAAATTTCTTTTATTTCTCAAATTTAAAAAAATCCGTTCAATCTTATAATTACTAAGAAATTTTGATAATTTTAAACGCTTTTAGCGTTTAAAATTATCAAAATTTCTTTTATTTCTCAAATTTAAAAAAATCCGTTCAATCTTATAATTACTAAATTAAAAAAACAGTAAGCCTTCTTGGGGATGATTTCTCAAACTCGCATATATTTAAAATTTTAGTGATCTGGAGGCAAACTCCAGAGACGACGTATTGTACACACTATGGTCTACACATAACGTCATATTAGATAACTCTTTTTCTGCACCTTCAAAGGTTGTAAAATTATTTCTTTTTAAGGTACAATTCATTGAAATCCAATCCGGACTAGGTTGAGCATTTTCGTTTTTACAAAGGTAATCGGCATTAAATTTGGGCCATTTCAGTTTCGCTGTGCTTTCCCAGTGGGAAGGTAGAGTGCATAGTTCTGCTCTGCCCCTTCGTTGAGTAGAAACAATCTTAAACGGCATTCTCCTGCAAGACATTTCGCTTTATGTTAGGAACTTAGAGTAAGTACTATTTTATGATAGCTAAAAACAATAAAACTATAAAAACCTTTTAGAAACTATAATTTCGCGAGTTTAACACACGCCACGCACTAACTTGCAGCCGCGGTGCGCTCCCTATCTGTGAATAATAGTAACTGATCAATACGTGTAAATTACTCGATGTTGTTTGTTCTAGCTAAAATAATTCACTATGAATCTACATACTACTAAACTACCCCCATCGCATAGATGGTTGTAATTTTTTGTAATACGAAATTAACCCAACCTACCTAAAACTAGAAAAACAAAAACATAACATCGTTATAACTGCGTTTATGTACATGCTAAAAAAAATAAGAATAAAACATTATGCATAGTATTTGTGTTGTATCACTTGCCACTGAATAGGTAGAAAAAAAACCCTTATTTGTATTGAAAAATATAAGTGGTCCTTTTTTGTAATTACTCATATAAATATATCAATTTTCCTGAGAAATTTGGTCCGTCGTATTATGTTTTGAACCCTGATTCGCTGTATAATTAATCACATTTAGTAACGTTATCAAGTGTTATTCAGATACTTGTAGTGCCTAATCACTATTTCTCAAATTAAATCAGAGTTGTACTGTAAAATAGCTGCGTGGAGAACTTTTATAATGAATCGCCATTTTATTTTATTTTTAAGTAAATTATTGAAACATTACGTATATAAAATGCCCCATTTTAGTAATTAATTACAGTTAAAAATATATTTTTTGAGTAACTTAATGACTTTTGAAAGATTAGCATAACTGTTTCATCCTAAGTATTTTTGTCACTTCTAAAAGTCTTTATTTATATGTCATATACTATTACTAAAAATGAATATGAAAGCGGCGCGTGAAAAATGTTGAGATAATTTATATGCTATTCACGATAAAATAACTTGCGCAGTAATTTTTTACGTGTATCATGGTTATAATACATAATAACATTTAGGTACTTACCGATTCGCATAGTTCCACTACCATCTTTATTTTACTAAAAACTATGAAATTTCAAAACAAAGCACACACTGCACGATTAAACACAACTTTTTTTCTAATTCACAACTTAACTTTTAATTATGTTTGAAAAGTATTACGCAAATGAACATAATCCTGAATAATTTTTGAATAACAAAATCCATATGCATTTGTCTGAATAAATACGAAATAATAGCTATATTAAAGTGATGACAGCTTTTTTTCAGACGTTATTAAGTTAAGCCTGTTATTATTAAGCAATTACCCAAACTTTACAGCTATATTATACAGACTTATGCATTTAAAAATGTGCCCAAATTGCTTGAGTAACAGTTGAATAGACGTTCACTCAGACAATATCCAGACAATAGTTACAGCTTATAGTTTCGCGGATCACTAGTACTCAAACGTTATTCAGCATGACTGTGTTACTTGGGTAGATCTCAATATGAACTATAAAAACTATTTAAAAGTCCAAATTCACTGAGAACAAGTTGTACAATTTGAATTTTGTAAAAATTTTAGGGATCGCGATTTGTTTGGCGCCGTGTCGTAAACCACACGACCTCCGCGCGGCACTCCAACCACAACACTGAGTCTTGTAGTCTTGTAAGTAAACTTCGATTGGTCCGAGTCCGACATCGCGCTTCCGAAATGCACTAACGCGTCATCTAGTTAACGATAACACATACAGACATACACGTACATGAACAATGGCAGCAACTTACACCACTATTAAACAGATAAACATAATGATTATGTATATTATACAAAAATCTGACGAATTGAGACACCCATCACTTTGTTGAAGGCGGTTAAAAATCTACGAGTTAGACATAAGGTGGGGTAGTTTTAATTTGTCAAAGTGGGTGCTTGGAAAACTTGGGTAGGTACCTACCTACATTTATCAGTGCCACCACCTATACCTGCTAATATTTTCATTGTTAATTATTTCAAACACTTTATTAAAGTTCAAATACTATAATAACTATATTAATGATTTGATAAAAATACCTACATTAAAAAAAGGTTGAATTCATAATAACGTTCATATAAGATTTATTATAGATTATAGACACCTAATTTTATAGTTTCTACGACATTCCGATGTGGACACTAGGCAGTAGGCACTGTAGTTCACTGTACCTACTTACAATGTACCAATAGATAAACCTATCTACTCGCGCGCTGTTTTCCCTCCAGTTCAGATCAACACAAAATATAATATTAATTCGAACCTTAATTTCTTGGATAATCGCGTCTTTTTTATAGGATAAGGCAGCAAACGACAGGACATATCACTTGATGGTAAGCAATCGGTGTCGCCCTTGGACACCCACAACACCAGAGGAGTCACAAGTGCGTTGCTGACTTATTGGAGGTTGTTGCGAAGATTTTGCTTCGCAAAAGATAAAAGAGAAAGCAGGATTCGCAAGACGAAAGGAAGTCCTCTGATGGGTCTACTAGGATACTCACACGGCGAAACAACGCTTTTAGGTCGAGCTGGAAGATTCGTGCAGAGCATGGCTTACATTTTTAATATTTTATTACAATTTGTTTTTGACTATATGTAGAAACAACAGTAGCAATCAAACTTTCAAGCATTCAAACCCGACTAATTATGCATGACTGCATTAGGTAGAAAATGTTGCATTTGTCTGTCTGCATTATGTAACCAATGACCCTAAATAAAATTTATCTATAAGTAATAAAAAAACTAATGCGAACCCTTGATAGGAATTGACAAAAATAAAACAGAAACAAACAGAGTATTAATTTTATATTTAAATATATTATATTATGACATAAGCACATTATTACAAACAAATAACACAAATAAATTAGATTTGGTGTATAGTAATTTATTACAAGATAAGTGTCCTTATACACATTAAAATATTAATCTTTAGTGTTGACTGATACCCTTAGTAAAAAATTTGATAAACATGTAATATTCTCAAAACATTTTCTTTTTCATTGCAGTGTATCTCTCAGTGTATTCATTGTATCCTTCAATAGACACCAGCTGTTTTTGTTCAAACAAATTACCATCTAAATTGATGGTATGCATTTTAGAATCTCTCAGCAAACTAGGCCTGATCGCTTCTATACTCAAACAATTCTCTTCAAGCCTCAATATCTTTAGTCTAGGAGCGAGATGCATGTCATCACTAATTATTGATATTTCATTCTGACTCAGATTCAGCTCTGCTGCATACAACTCCGACATTCCTTTAGGTATCTCTGTTATCTTATTGTGAGACAAATCCACTACCTCCAAACTATGAAGACCCAACAATTGAGATGGAAACTCTTTTAGTTTGTTATTACTCAAATACACTTGCTTCAAGTTACTCAGCTTAGCAAAAGACTCTGGCAGGAATGTTATTAAGTTATTAGACATATTAAACATCTCAAGCTTCTTCATATTGCCTAAAGAATCTGGAATGGTCTCTATTCTATTTGTGTCTAGATTTAGCTGCTTCAACAGCTTGAATTTACATATGTCATTAGGTAAAGATGACAATTTGTTCTTCGATAAATCTAAATTTCTTAATTTATCACTTAAATTCAGAGCTTCTATTGGTATTTCTTTTAACTTGTAATCAGACAATTGTAAAACACCTGTTTTCGACGCAGTTTCATAATGCTGCTTAATACTAGAGTTACCCATTTCAATCACTCACTATAATTTATTGTAGTGTCTAATGTACAACTAAAACTAACTGATACAAACATATAATATTGATATAATTTGTAATGTTGTGACTTTCAATTTATTTTTAGTTTTTTTTCGTGTTGATGTTGAATTTGACACATTGACATTCTTTCCAATTCTAGCCACAGACTGACAATAATAGTAATAGTTCTCTGGCTATTGGCTATTTGTCTTTTTGATATTTGTGACTACTAATTGAAAATTATTGTTTATATTTTTATAAAACATAAAATTGTATTAAAAATGAAGTTAAAACATTTAAAAAATACTGTACAAAATTAATCGTATACGAACCAAATATTACTATTTCCGTTTATAAAAGGACCCATTAAATAAACCATCTGCCAAGCAAGACATACACCATCCAATGTCGCAAGTTATAAACCAAGCATTTATAACTCAATGCTCCCACAAAATATTGTTTTTCTCGACATTCCCCTAAATTCGGCGTTTCTCACCTGCCTAGGTAGGTACTCACCTTTTTTAGATATAATCCGAGTAAAAGAATATGTTAGACAAACAATATAATATTATTAGGTTAATAAAATAACAAAAAAAGTGTTTGTCTTATCTAACTATTAAAAATATTCATTCAGTGAATAGTTTTTAATCAAAATTCATCGCCAAAAATAACGGAATGAACGGTGGGCCATACAACAGATAATATACTAAATAAAAACAGTTCCTCCAACATTCAACAATAGTGACGTGCGTGCACACTGCACAGAGGGGATTGATATCCGATAGAAGAAATTCGAAAGGTTATTTTGTTTAATTTATAATGGTTAATTATTATGAATTTAGAAATAAAGTGTTTATATAAATGAAATGAAAGTGTAGTCAATAAATAAAGTCGTTATCAATCAAGTTTATCCATGATTTTTAGTTAGATTTTGTTACCGCGGGAAAACTGTGAAACGTTTGATTAGTATAATGGCCGCAAAGCGCCAATGCTTTACGTGTTTGCTCATAAAGTATGAAATTTGAGTCAAAATTATGCATCTCCAATGCTTTATATGAGTTAAAGAAATCATAATTGAGATGGACATCAACGCTGGTAAGTAGCATATAATTGTTACAAGAAGATTTCAGCTTATTTTTTCAAACGCTTTGATAAATTGTGATGATAGCTTCTATCGTAACTTTTTCTCAGCGTGTGCCTGCTTTAGGTCCTATTTAATAGTTGCAAAAGAAACCATTATATTAGAAATTGAGCCTAAGTGAAACATACACAGCTATTTGAAAAACCATCTTGAAAAATAGTATTGCACGCTCGGCGAGTAACTCCCTGAGACAAACGATAAATCTAACAGTATGTAACACAGAAATCTAACTCACCATAGTCTGTGATTCATGAGAAATACAAGCGGTGCCGTTTACTATTGTCATTTTGATTGATTTATGTCCATAAATACAAACTAAGCAAGAAGTTTTTAACATCATTGTTACGTATTTAAGCTCCTGTTTTCCAAAAAGATCAGCTATTGATACATTCATGTTAAAGTTCGATTGCCGAGCACATGAGTATAGTATATTGGTTTATGCTAAGTTAGGGAGATTAAAAAACATAATTTTAAGATTTAGGAGAAAAAAAATCAATCTGTATTTTCAGTGTGATTTTGAAAATCTTATAAGCAGCTGATCTTGTGTGGTAATAGAATTTGTGTCATATTTGAAGTAATTATGGCCTAATTAAGTGTTACACTCCTTCAAAATACTTAACATATTTTATCCTTATAGGTGAATAGGGAAAATAATATCTTAAAATATCACAGTAACCAGTATTGCATGTTGCAAGGAAGTACTTTTGGTTATAATACAATATTGGATATAATCCAATTATCTCTTGTTCTACTGAGAAACAATATTTTTTGTAGAACCCTAATTTCACAATACACATAGCACAAACATACATCAGAAAACTATCCTGCTTCCACTGCTTGCTAGTTTAAGCTATATCTGTGTTGTGTGTCACTGTAAATGAAAATATTCTTGATAAACCTTTCATTCTCCTATCCTTTCTATCATATCTTTGTAATCATACATTCACCCATTCTATTCTTTTCCTGCTTACAATTGGAACAATATATTGGATAATATTATTGGAGTAAGTATATACCCGCATATCTTCAAAATTGCAATTCACCTTATTTATGCATAAATCAATGATTTCATTCTGTTTTTGTTTATAATAACAGTAAATAATGTTTGTTACAGTAAGCATAACAACCTTATCTGTCAGTGTAGGTATAGAAATTGTGATTAAATATAAACCTGTAGAGAATCTTCATAACCTTATTTACTTGTAATGTACACTTAATACTTGCACTTAAATGCTTTGAAACATCAACCAATGACCTTTCACAAAGGTGCATCCCAAATTCATAATAAGGACCAGAAAAGCAATAGGAATTAGGTATAAAGTCTGAGACAAGACATTTACATTAAATATCTGGGTTAGAAAAAATACAAGTTTGCATATCATAAGGTGTTAATAAAACTTTTTAATGAATAACAAATGTAAAGCAATATAGGTCATTCATACTTTAGAAACAAGTTTGAACAAAGTTTGGCAAATTTTTCTAAAACAATACAATACTTTTCTAAAACAATACTGCTGTTTGTTCTGTTCTGAAAATTTTATTTTCATTGTTAAAGTTTCCCTATTCAATTAACCCCTTAATGTTTCTCTCCACAAGTCTTTTCATGTTTTACTTCTTTGCTTTAAAACTCATGCACTGTTTCATTAGTATAAACTCACTTGGCCGGTAAACATTCCAATAAGTATTCATTTTCTATATTGTTTTCTTTCATAGAGGTCTCAACACAGTTGTCTCTGATCGATGCCCTCCTGAGCGACCTTGACAAAACAATTACACCATGTGCTAGCAAAAAGAATGAAAAAGAAGAAGAAGAGACACAGGATGCCATGCCAGACTCTACAACCAACACGGAAAAAAATAATGCAAATCCATTCCATTGTGGGGATGATGTACTGGTACCAAACAAAGATGGACGATATTATTTAGGTGTGTATTTACTCCTACTGTATTCTTTTATGTATAACTTGTGAAACCCAAAGTGTATCAACCTTAAGCTGGATAATCATAAATAACATCTGATAAAACAGATTTGTGCCTAATTAGTAGTATAATCATATAATATCATATAATCCAGTAACTGACAACTAAATTGGGATAGAACAGAATATTTATGCAGTGTTTCCTTCAAACCAGGAACAATAGTAGAGTTGAGTACTAGTAATGACAACGACTCATGCGAAGTGGGGACGGGGACTGCGCGATGTTTAGTGAAGTTTGGGGATGGGACGCACGCGTGGGCGCCGGTGGCTTCGTTGAAGCTGCTGAGCGCCCCGCCGGCGGACGATGGGCGCATCATGTGCGTGGTGTGCAAGCGGCGGGAGGGCCCGGCCGCCAGCCCCGCGACCAACGCGATCATCGCGTGCGACATGTGCGGAAGAGGCTACCACGCCAAGTGCCACTCGCCACCCGTCGACGCATGGATTAACGGTAAGTACTACCAATCTGCGACTGCCTGTATACATTTCAACTTTATGCTATTAATTTTCAACTCTAAACATAAATTCAAGCTGTCGTCAGCTTTAATTTGAAAACATATACTTAGAGATATCGACACGTACGCATGCACGTATGGTCTGCTGAAATTTTGCGGTAATGAAACCGAATATTCATATCTTTATTGATACGGTTGAGGGTGTTTCTTGTCTACATACACACCCATGAACCTTCCTATATCAGCAAAACCTAGCTTTATATGTAGTATAATAATCAGTATCCCTGTTTCGTGACAAATGTTCATAATAAAATAAAGAATATACTACTGTATGCTCTAAAACTGAGAACTTCAGAACTTCTTCGCACATCATTGTACGCCGCTACCAGGTTACGTTACGTGCGAGTTTCTAGTTACGCAATTGTGCGAAACTTTCTACTGTAATTAATATGTGCAGAACAGGATTAGTTCTGCGCATTATTGTTTAGCCACACAGGTGTGGCCAACAATAAATGTAATCCTTCTTCTATGAGATGTAACAGAAGCGAATTACATTATCGATTTTATCTCATAGTTTTTACAATGTATAGTATTTTTCTCCATATTATACGTTCGGCACTACGATAGTCCTAGATTTATAGATGCTAATGAAGTCGTCACCAGCTTTACCAACAAATGACGAACTGGTGGTTACCAGTTCGTCATTTGTTAAGGCTAAACTTAAACGAAAATGTATTATGCTCGACCATGATCCTAGATCATATTTAATGCCTATTAAAGATTTCCAAGAAATTCCATTTTGCACACAGCTTACAATAAAATTTAGTTTTCTAAGAAATGTTCCCAACTTTTTAACAGGTGCATCATGGCACTGCAAGAGATGCGTGGACCAAAGGTACAGAGTGGCCGCGGCGGAGAACAGAGCGCTCAAGCGATCAGACTTGTTTAGGTTTAAGGGCGGACAGCAGAGGAGACAGCAACAGGAACTCACTCCACCCTGCGATGTAGGTTTAATACCGTTCCATTTAACCACACCTTATATCCCCTCTTTCGATCAATAATTCTTTTATTACGCCTTTTGCCCGATTCAAGCATTTATTTCGAGGCCCTGTGCTCGGTAGACACATTGGCAGCCAGTCAATTAACCAAAAATATAATCCTTTCAAACAATACGCCATTACCTAATTCCTTATAAGTACTTACTGTTGCTCGCGTCTTCACGCCCTCTAAATGAAAAGTAACATAAACACCTAACTAATGTCTCTCATAAAAATGTCATGCCATAAGATCGAGTTCTCGCGACATAAAGGTAAGCCAAATAGAATCAGTATATTGATGTATGGATGATTTTCAGACTGCTTCAACGACTTCGTCTGCGTCAGTATCGGATGCTGGTAAAGACCAAAATGAAACACATTGTTACTGCGGCGAAAAAAGCGACTGGCTCGCACAGGTTTGTCCTAATACTGAATCTATTTTTAAATTATCTTAGTAGTTGCTTATGGGATATAGTGGCAAAAAAACAGAATTATTACCTGATGAAAATCAATCAACCAGAGGACTTACTAGCTATGCTATACT